TTGTACAAGGTGAGAGAGGGTAAGGGGAGAGAGAGAGAGAGAGAGAGAGAGCGGGAGAATGAGCGAGACAGAGAGAGGGAGAGAGCGAGAGCGTGAAAGAGAGAGATATAGTGAGCACAATATATCAGACAATTTAACGAAAACAAAGAAACTTTATGATTTCTGGAGGGCAAGCTAGCAAACACCATTTTCCTTTTCCAGGATTGTCTACACACGTACAGACGAAAAAGAGTCGGCCATCGTCGAGCCTTCATGTTCATCACCGTCATCGTGTTGATGCTCACCTACACCACCCAAGTCGAGACAAGAACCAGTCAGTTTTTTCGCATTTATTGGTTTTCTCAAACTTTTGTGCTTCCGGAACCAGACACATTTTAAAAATTCAATTACCGTTTTTTCAGCCGGCATCGGCTCCGTCATCAACAATTACGTATTCCGACGCACCGAAACAACAGCGTTGGGCTGGAATACCGAAGATTTGGGCTATTGGAACGGGACGGGGTATTTCATGTGTGAGTTGATAAACTTTGAAGGTTGCAAAAAATCGGATCTCTTTAAAAACAAATTTGAAGATCTTTTTAGTAATTGTTGGAACGCTGTTCGGTCTCGTGGTTTTTAAAAAGTGGATGAACTGCAGGGAGACGACGTTGATATTGATTGGAATTGCGTCGTCAACGCTGAGGACGATTATTATTGGTAAAAATCAAAGGATTATTTCTGCTTTACTGACAAAAATCAAAAGAGATTCAAAATCAAATTTTTCCAAGGCCTAGATAGTTGGGATAAGCGAAACCTAGGGTGTGTGTGTGCGATGATCATTTTTAGAAGAGTGTAGCTTTAGCGAAATAATCCGGAATTCTGGAATTAAGTCGTTAGTTTGTATTACCACCTTGACAATTCCTGCAATTTTTTAGATTTAAAAGAACTCTTAAGGCGTGAAATCCCGCTGACACTTTTTAGCAGAAGTTAGTTTTGCACGGAATAAGACAAAGTCCAAGCCATGATTAATTTCTTTCTATTCGTCGATACGTTTTAAACTTTAATTCGTGACTGTTAAAGTCAATGGGAATGTAATCACGTCTAGCTGATACCTTAGCAAAAGCTAAATCTCCTCCCAAGTCGAGAATGGCTGACCAAGCTTGAGTGTTTTGCAAAAATCTCAGGCAACGTGACCTCGATTTTCTGATATTTCCAGACTTCCTGTAATCCCTGATTTATTTCCCATTTGAAGACGCTCATCAAGAAATGTTGCTATTTCAGGCGTCGCAGTAAATGACTGGATGATGTATGCGGCGAACGGGGTCGGCTGTTTCGCCGGATTGGTCCAGCCGGCCGTCGTCTCATTTATGACTCAGGTCTGGAATTTGGGAGGATTCGGGGAGCACGAGGCGAAACAAAATACGAATCTCGAATTCGAGGTCAGGGAATCAAATGTTGATTGATCTGATCTACTGGTCGGATCGGACAAATCTCTAGGAAATCGCAACGTTTTGAGCCTGATCTTCTAATTCCAGGTCGTCGCCGGCTCAGAAATTGGTCGCACCTTTGCCCTTTTTGGCATCGGAGCCGATGCGGCGTTTATTTTGACGGCAGCACTTTACACAAATGTGTACCGCTGGACGGTGAGTCGAGCCGGAAAGGAGAGAGAGCAAGAGAGCAATAAAAATCAAAAAAGTTTGATCTTTTTATCAACGGAATCTTTGAAAGATTTGGTCTCTTTTGTTTACCACCCTCGCGAACTACCAAGTGAATCGCCCCAAAAGACGAAAAATATCTTAAAAATACTTGTTTAGGTCTCGTGGCTGCCCGGCTTCACCTTCCTCCTCATCGCTGCTCTGCAAAGCCTAGCCTTTCTGGCCATGTTGTGGGTTCATCTCAAGGCAAAGGCAGAAGGCGTTGGTGCTCAGGAGCAGGGGATGAGCATACAACAGGTTTGGATTCGCCTTCCTGGCATTTTAAGGGGTAATGTCAGAGATGGTGAGACCCAGGGTGAGGAAAGAGAGAGAGAGAGAGAGAGAGAGAGAGAGAGAGAGAGAGAGGGAGCGGAAATGTATCGCAAAAAGTTTACCGGCTTTTCCTAGCTCTGGCTTGCTCAATTTAATCAATTACCCTATCCAGACCCCAGATTTTCGGCCGGTATTCGCCAATCCTCGAATTACCATCGGTAGAAAACGTCAAATTACCCTCCCCGAACCAATGACGAGCCGCCAATTTTGGCATTCCCGAATTCCAGCGTTTCTCCTCATGCTCGCCTACGCTGAAATTCGATGTCCCGACCAAAATTATTTCCGCCAATTTTTCGGGGTTGTCCGTCGTCGTGCGTTTCTTTCCGCTCTTTTCTCTTGCATTGAAAGAATTTGATCCCGTTCAGAAATTGTGGGGTTTGGTGGAGGGGGGGCTAGACGGCGATTTGTCACCCCAGGTCCTTTAGCGGAAAATTTGTGGAATTTGGAAGGAAACGGGATGAAATTTTGCATTGCAGACGATCGCGAGGATCGGGTCAACTGATGAAGCGGATGAGCCGAAGCGTGCAAAAATTTCAAAGACCAGCACCAGTGGGATAGCTTTTCCATTTGCGAAGAAGAAGGTTAATAAACAGGTAAGTTAGCGGATGGCGTGTTTTAAAGAGAATGTGACACGTAGAAAATGGTATCCTGTGGCGTTTCCTTTAAATCTCCTGCTTTTTAAGGACTAGTATTACGTAAGGCAGCCTAGCAGGGTTTATTTGTGGCTCTCAAACTCAAAAATCAAAGATTTTGAAGGCGTAGCGACAGCTATTCAGCCCATGCTCATCAAGCTGCCTGAGTCCCTTTGGTACTAAGTTATCCTGGCAAGGTTGAGTCAGACTCAGGGCAGGCTAGCAGAGATCGTTAGCATCAAGCGTCCAGTTTTATGATCACCTCATTAATGCTATTTTTAGGTATCCATTCTGGAACACGCCGAGCAACTAGCCCGAGAGCGTGAACTCCGAAATCAGTCAGCTCTCTGGAGTAGTCACGAAGATGTCCGGGGACAGCCGAGGCGGTACTCTGAGCGTTTTTATTGACTTTTTATGCTAATTTTCTAAGTTCTTGCTCAATCTGTTGCTCATTATGCACTTAATTTTTTTCTTTCTCTCCTTTTCACCTTGTTTTCGCTGTTTACTTCGGATGTACATAGCATGATCTTGCTCAACGTTTCCCTACGTGTTTGCTTTGTGTTTGCCTTCTCACAACACGAGTCACGTGCTGAATTTGGTATATTTTGTTAATAAAGCTATTATAACCTTGTGAATCCACTCGCCTACATACTACAGGGTGTCCCAAAACCCCCCCCCCCCCTACCTAGCGGTCCGCAGTCGATTCCGATTTTTACGATTTAGGTATCTATCGAAAGCTCTCGAAAAGGCGAGAAAACAAGGAGGGTTGAATTTCTTAATTAAGCCTTTTTATTTGCTAATTTTATGTCCAAAAACCATGAAAACTGCTGATTTATGCGAGATCTGCATGCTAATTGAGAAAAATTCCTGATGAAAAATTCCCGGCTTTTTAGAAAAACCTGAAATATCGATAGAATCAGATTAAATCTTAGAAAACGAAGCCGCTTGTTTTCTCGCCTTTTCGAGAGCTTTCGATTGGTATAAAAATCATTCCGATCCGATCCGATTGACGGCCTCTAGAGGGGGTTTGGGACACCCTTTAAGAGCTGATCCTTTGCCGACTACAAATCCAAAAACTCCTTCAGGCTCCAAACGCCCGATTCGACTTTTTGACGGCCCATTGGGTATTTGGTTGCTTGCGGCGAGCTACGCAGAAAGCCCTTTGACGGCCCGGCTTTGCGCCCGAAAAGATTTTTGTTTGCCAATTTTGCCATTTCCCCCGCCGCCCGGGCATTATTGCCGATGTGGGGGGGTGAAAGAGAGGAGGAGAAGGGAAGATGATGGTCGGCACGGAAGGAGCACGTTCTAGCTGGTGGCGAACGGGACGAGAATCTCAGCTTTCATAATTGCAATTTCTTGATCTTTGCTGAAAACACCAAAAAAGGGGAGGTAAAGCGGAAGTATAGTTTGGTACCCTTGGCTTCGCGTAGCAATTAGGAAAAAGGAAAAACAACGAAAAATCCACATTAAAGCGCACGTTCAGGGAGGAGCCGTGTACTCGTCCCAACGTGTACACCCTATAGACGTAGGGACCGCGCGCACTGCCTGCCCGTGCTGTGACAGGCCATTCCCCTCCTTTGCGGGGTGGGGCGCCCCTCGCCCCCTAGCCAGGTTGTAGCTGTGGCTGACTGGTATCCATCCGCGCCTTCCGAGCGGGGGGCCCGGGTTCGACCCCCGGCCGCGGCAAAAATCTTTGCTATTTTCCAAAAAAACGTCCCTGAACGTGCCCTTTAAAGGGACGCTAAAGGCAAAATCCATAGGATGCTTGATACCGTAACCACGTTCAAGAGGACTCGCTTCGAATTTTGTCCCCAGTAGTGCGAAAGATCATCTTGGATTTTGTGCCCTCTCTCTCCAGGTTTCTCACTCCCTCTCCCGCGCTCTCTTTCTCTCTTTCTCTATCTCCCTCTCTCTCCCTCTCCATCTCCCTCTGGCGCTCTCTGTCTCACTCTCCAATACCCTCTCTCTTTCTCTTTCTCGCTCTCTCTCGCTCTCTCTCTCTTTTTCTCTCTTTTGATACCGTTGTATCTTTGCTTCCCTGTCCCGTTAAAATCCCAATTAACATTGGCCAACACTTTATTACCGGCACACACAAAAAGCAAAGCGTAAAATGTTTCTTGTTCAATAAAGGGGTAGGCGGGGATTGGCTGACTTTGGCTGGATGAGTGGATGGAACGACACACAACGCATACACACATTGATGGTAGGCTGCTGCTCTGCAGGATGATGGAATGGAAACGAGACAGGATATGATGGAATTCGGTGGCGACTTTGGTGCTTTGAAGTTTGGTTGAGATCTGGGCGTAGAGAGAAGAGGAGAGGAGACGTGGAAGCGAGCCTGGTTGACTTCGTTGAAGGTTTAATAGCCTCCGGAGCGCTGAAAAATATTGAATTTATACCGTATTCGGCAAGTTTTTGTGTTTTATTGGAAGTTGCTTAAATTTATCGAGTAGCGCCAAACTTTTTCCGTGTTTTGCAACATACACTTTAGCCCTATCTTTTTTTTTGGCTAGCATCAGGTCGTAGTTGCAGCTCTTTTATCAAGGGCTTAGAAACCTCAAAGAAAGGTTTACCTTTTTTTATTTTTTAATATCGTTTTCACACTTTGACAGTCTGCTTAAATTGTTTTTGGCAAGTTTCCGGCTCCCAAAAGCCTATTAGACGTTTTTGAACTCAAAAAACATGTTTTTAAAAATAATTGTTGTACTGCGTACTCCTCCTCCTGCATTATCTCACATTAATGCAAACAATATCGCAACATTCCCAGGCACTGCTAGACACAGACGTTCCGTGTTCTCAAGGTTTTTGATGAGATTTTTCGTTTTTGCTTACTCATCTCGGGACGCTCGCACAACCAATTAATATTTCACACCTTTCGGCGTCGCCATTACACGGTTTTTTCTCATTTTTGGAGTGATTCCGAATTTCGTGAGTTTGGGAGCGAAACTCTCTCCTCCAAAGATGTCAAAAATCCAAAGATATCGGTATTAAGGGTACAAAATTTTGCAAAAAGCGGGTCAAAAAGGATCAGTGGATTCACTTTGGAAGTATACGGTTACTCAAAAAACCACACACCCTTTGACTATACGACGTTTACGTCCCAAAACTGAATTGACCTAATTGTGCGCAATAATTCGATTTCCCGTGCTATACTTGACTATCTTTATACTAAAAATGTCACTACATAATGCCATTTTTAGTTGGTCAGTCCCCACCCGCCACCCGTAAAGTGGATTCCCGCGTACAGCTTGCTTCCGATAGCTCAGCGTTATGAAATTACGTATACCTAGGTCAGCTGCCTACGCAATTTCAAAATCTATTATTTAAGCCAATTTGCTTACTTAAAAAGACGCCTGGGTTACGTCTAAAACGTCACGAAGCTGACGCTAACACCAAAACCCTCGATCCTAACAATCAGGAATCTGCTAGAAAAATCTGCCCCCTCAGACGACAGGTGAAGCCTGCTTCCGCCTGCGACAGGCGAACCACCGAGAAAGAACTTTAATTTCCATGAAACAAGCTAGATTTCAGCTGCCAAAAAATAGATTGAAATCGAGGAATTCAAAAAATTCCAGCTGCGTCGTTGCTGTCGGAAAAAAGGTGTCTAGAGGAGTTGAAAGTACAGAGTTGATTTGGAGGAAATTTCCAAAAGAATCGCTGCTAGCTAGCCTTTCGTGACTTCATTTTTTGCATGTCTATAAATAACACTAGCATACTACCTTTCTAATCAGCTTGTTTAGAAACGGCTTCTTAATTTGAGCTTTATTGAATTTTAAAACCAAACAAGATTCTGGCGTTTTTTTAATCGGTCTATCTTTTAACTCGCGATGCAGGCAAGAATCAGCCACTTTATTCAAATTCTCAACGATTTTGGAAAAGTGCGTTGTACACTTTCTTACGCTTACTGTAGCTACGTAATCTAGCTCGTGTTTAATTTGGATCTAAAAAATTAAGCTCTTCAGGCCCTTACCTTGAAGAAGCGGATGCTCGGCTCGAGTCGGCTCCATTTCTTCCTCAGCTGGAAGGGCTCGGGCGCGTAGTCAGCCCACGATCGCACGTACGCGTCGACATTCTCGGCTGGAGCCGCCGAGGAGACGCTCAAGACTGAAAAGATACACATCTTTTCTAGTCTACAACTACTGGGCGCGTAGTCAGTCAGACACACTAATGACTAGTCTACCTCGCTGACCTGACGGACCCGATGGCCGCCGGGCCAGGTCAACCCGCGTTTTCGACCCCAGACCCGGATAACCCCACAACACGGCGCCCCGATCGGGTGTAACCGCTGGAATCCGGAGCGTCGGATTGGATTTTAACACCATAAACTATTTTATAAATATAATTTATAAATTGAAATGGCTGGCAATGTAACTGTTAGAGTTATGCAAAACCTTCATCCCAAAAACTACAAATTTCCTTCCACGCTCTCGCTCACGCTCGCGTTTTCTCACGCTCTCTCTCACTCTCTCACGCTCCTGTTCTCGCGCTCTCTCTCTCCCCCGCTCTGTCTCATAGGAATTTTCGGAATACTGAAACCCTATCCTCGCTGCTTTCACAGTTCCTTTAAAGTGTTTGAAAGGCGTGAAGGGGTCGACGTCAAGTGGAGCGCCGCGTTGTCCAAAGTTGGACTACGAGTCGCTCCTCTGGACACCAGTATCCTGTGCGTGTTGCAGATCTCTTTCCGGCTTTCTAGTCGGGTTTATCATTTCCATGTCCCATTAAAATGATTTCCCGCGATCTTGCAAGTTTTTACAAGACTTCATTCGTTGGGCAACCTTGAAAACGCCGCGCTGCGGTTTTTCGGAGGTAAATAATCGCTATTTTGCCCCTAGAGGGCCTAGTTTTGTTAGCAAGCCGCGAGAGCGCGGAAACGTCAGTTTTTCAAATATTTGTTACATTTTTTGCAGGCAGCGAAAAATTTCCCGGACCCTCGTAGTAACCAGCAAGCTCTGCTGCTACAAACAGACACAAAAAATGTGAAAGGTCCGCTAAAAGCTTCTCTTTTCCAAGATCCTTCTGTGCTAACCAGTTTTGAAATTTCTGTTTTGATGCCCTAATATTTCACTTTTTCAAGTCGTTTCGGTAGTATAAGTCAAAAAAACCCCCCCCCCCCCGGCCCAATATTTAATTAAAAAAAAAAAAAAAAAAAAAAAAAAAAAAAAAAAAGGGGAAAAAAAAAACATTTTTTTTTAAAAAAAAAAAAAAAAAAAAAAAAAAAAAAGGAAAAAAAAAAAAAAAAAAAAAATTTATAAAAAAGATTAAAAAATTTTAAAAAAAAAAAAAGAGGTTTAATTATTTAATAAAAAAAAAAAAAAAAAAAAAAAAAAAAAAAAAATAAAAAAAACCCCTTTTTCCCCCACCCCCCCCCCGGCGGGGGCCAGTAACCATTTTTGTGCATTTCCGTCGCTTTGCGAAAGTTAAAAATTGAATGAACACCATCCTTGCCAAAAATCCCAAAAAACGTGGACGACATTCGAGCACGAATTTCTTAATCCACCCCCCCCAAAGGCCTCCAGGGGCTTAAGGACACATACCTCATCCCAAAAAAGAAAGGTAATTCCCTTAATATTGTCTGTTTGTCGTGGTGGTGTGGTCTTTGAAAAGCGCCCGGGGAATACAAGGGCAATGTCCTTATCGAAATCGCATTCGAGGACGGTTTTTGTTACTTGTAGCTTACTGTAGTTCTGATTATACGCCCAAATCCATTTTTAAGCCCTTAGAAATATGAATTCGGACATGAATGAACTCACATGAAATAAGAGCCACGAGAAATGTGACGAGGAGCAGTGACCGCATCTGTAATTAGAGAGAGGGGCTCTGTTTTTACCTGCAAACTCGGGGAATTTGTACCGTAATTTGGTTGGTGATCAAGTAATGTGAAGACAAAAACAGAAAAGCAATAGAATCAGCTACACGGAAAGTTAGGGAATTTAAGGGGCAGACAAGGCAAACATCCATGGATTCTTACAGGCAGGGACGTAGCGTAATACAGGCCCCGGGGCCCGCCCCCGAAATCGGCCGGGGCCCGAAAATTTCATAAGGGGGGACCCTTATGTTTTTTATTTTCTCAAAAATTTTGCTGCCTGCGGCGCTATTTTTGCACGTTTTTACGGCTATTTGTAGAGCTATGTAACCTTTTTTTCAAAAATTTTTGCCTGCGGCGCTGTTTTTTTGGGCACTGTTTTGAGTTTTTTAGAAAAATTTTTTCCAGGCCCCTCCCCGAAATTTTTCTGGCTACGTCCCTGCTTACAGGTCCCAAAAAATCGTCTTTCGCGTACGAAGTATTCTGTTAACCGAAGGCTGTTTTGGTTACTTAAAATTATGTTAATTGCTGGGAAAATTAAAACATTTTCAAATGACATTCTAAAACAACGAAAACTATAAAAATGGCATAAAGACGCGCAAAATGTTCAAATCATTTCAGATGAGAGCAGAAAAAGATTGTTTTTGTAATTTTTCTGAGTATTACGGTATTACGGCAGCTAGAAAATCGTTAAACCCCTTAATAAAAATACAAAGCAAAATCCTACCCCAGACAAGAGTCTAAAATCCACAATAATTCAGCAACATCGCGCCTTTTGAATAAATCCCAAACCGCCGGGGGTGGGCGGGGGCCACGCCCACCCAAATGTGGGCGTGGCTTTGGGTAGGCCCTGGGCCCTACCCAAGAGGCCCAAGAGGGCCCAAATTCAAGATTCCTAAGCAGAATACACACCCCTGTACTTTTGAGCCTTCGTAATTAAGAGATGAAAAATTCTAGTATTTGGGCGGGATGGGCCTCTAAACAAGGAGGAGACCTCTGGATCAAGGGTGCAACGGGTCTTCATGATTTAATTTGAAATTAAGTGCGTTTTAAATCGCTGAAAAACACGATAAAATTAAAATAGCGACCGTATCTATCGTAATTTGGATCAAGTGCAATGAAAATTTTTTAATGGAATTTCAGGAATTTTCGCTGGTTTCCAATTTCCGAATTTTGATATGCTAAAAATTAGGGGAATTGCCGTAACCTACTGTAATGAGGATTAAACCCTGACCCAACCTCTAAAAAAGCTGCAAAATAAGATACCTCCGGAGAACAAAAAGTGACGCTAGCAAAAACACCCTCTTTGCGCAAGAGTGGGCACCACTAATCTCAATTAGATCTGCGGGTGTGACGCCTATAGCGTTCTGCGGCAAGGGTCAGAAAAAGGTGGCAAAATGGACAAATATTTGCTTTGTTCGGATTAGGTCAAAAACGGAAATTAATGCTATCTTACATATCATAATTCGCGTTCAAAGATGTACCGGATTCTAAACTTTTTTAATTTGATATTGTGCATTTGGAATTGAACTAGGAGCGTTTCTTAGGGAATTTGGGTTTGCAAATCCCATTTTTTGCATGCTAGGGTCGGTTGATATCCAGCAAAGAACTTTATGGAATTTTCAAAGGATCCGCTTCATAGATTTGCTACGTCAAAGCCTAGTGCTAAGCCTAAGCCCAAGCCCAAGCCTCTGCCCAAGGCTATGCGAAGCATGGGCCTAACAAGCCGAAAGCGAAACCTAGGCTTAAACCCAAGCCTAAGCCTCAGCCTAGGCCTAAGCCTAAAGGTAAGCCTAAGCCAAACCTAAGCATAAAACCTATCAAGTCAATCACTTTTTACTAGCAATCTAGCAGAGTTTCTTTAGGATCTTTGGTCAGGGCCTGAAATTCATTGGCTTGAGGGTAAACGTAACGCTAGATGCACCACCCCCCCCCCCTTATTCAATCCGATGAGCCTAAAACCCTGAAACCACCCCCAAAATTGGCAATAACCCAGAGCACGGGTTGAAAAATGAGCGTCCGCAAATAAGCGGGGAGGTTGACGTCGAGTCGAAATGTGGACGTTTCCGGCCGGGCCATCCCTTGTTAGACTCGGCCCAAATTTATGGGCCGTGGGGAGGCCGATGGGAGGCGGGTGGGGCGGGGTTATCACGTTTTTTGGGCGTTCGGCGTACTCGGTACGGATCGTCAGTACGTTGTGTACTGTAGTCGGATAAAAATAGGACAAGGCAGTCTGTTTCATTACACAGCCAGTACCCGGAAATGTGCCGAAAACGAGAGAGAGAGAGAGAGAGAGAGAGAGAGAGAGAGAGAGAGTGAGAGAGAGACAGAAGGAGAGGGGAGGGTGAAAGATATAGAAAGAGAGAGAGAGAACGATTAATAGACTGACAGAGCAAGATAGAAGGAGGGAGAGCGAGAGAGAAAGTGAGAGACAGAGAGTTTGATACAGACGCAAAGAGATACAGAAAGAGAGACAGAGACCCGCAGAGAGGAAGAGAGAGAGAGAGAGAGAGAGAGAGAGAGAGAGAGAGAGAGCGAGGGCGAGAAATACTCCGCGCACCATTGAACAAATCCAGTGCCAGGTAATTTATTGGTCGAACACAAGTGCAAATGGTCAATGAAGTTCATGGCAACATGGCAACGGTGAAACGGTTAAGATTTCACAGAACCTGGACTAAAGTACGAATTATGGGGTGTTGAGAAACAAAACGATGACTTTCTATAGTTTGGCCACGTGATTCACGCATTAATGAAATTAGCGGAGTGTTGAACTTGGCTAGAAACGCTGCGGTTTTTCGAAATTATGCAAAACAAGTTATCGTGAGCGCTTTTCTCGCATTAGTTATTATCCCCCTCTACGAAATTGGGTAAAAAAGGCGTTTAACACATCTATAATGAAGAATTCATAGGAGGTGTAATCTTTGAATGTGTGGCGCCATGTGAAACGGAAAAAAGCTTAATTTTTACCGTGTTTTGCTAAAAACGCCGATTATAAAATTTCACAAATTCAACTTTAGCTACGCTTTATTAGATAGTTTTCCGCTATTTGTAAATTCAAAGTCCAAAATTCTACTCGCCGCTGAAAATTTGATTGCGTTGACCCCACAACACACAACCCACAAACATATGGTCAAAAATAGCCCCTATAGGGAGAAGCTTTTCCCTAGTGACTCGTCATCGACTCTCCCGAATATTCTGATATTCGGGGTCATGGACCCGCCAAATAAATTTGATTTTCCGGGAGGCGCCTTATGGACGACGCTATGTCTCTTCTAGGTAGCCAAAAATTGACCGAGAATGTTCTAGGAAAATTGAGATCAGAAAGTTAATTTGCATGCCAGTTGTGTTCTAAACCCTGCTATGTAGTTTTATATGATGGGCTACGGTTTACTTTACCCCCCCCCCCCAACCGGAAGTTTTTGGCTATAACTTTTTTTATTTTACATTATTGTAGGCTCAAATTAAAACTCTTAGTATATTTTTCGACGCTCTATCGAATGGCGTTGCAAAAATCCCGACAAAATAAGCGAAAATACCGGCTGGACAATGTACCGCTAATGATTTTGTTGACGGCGGATTTTCTATGGATTTTTGCGCAACGCGACACGCTTCCCTAGAGCAACGCAGGAAATTGTGGAAATGCCGACAAATCAGCTCATGACAAGGTAAGATGCCGACAGATAAAAGGCCGATGCGAGAAATGCCGAAACGCAAAATGCCGACAATAGAAAACTGTTGTTGACCGAGATGCTGACAACCGAAATACCGACACTCCTGCTAAATGTCCGCCCAACGCTGTCGGCGTTTCGGCCTGTCGATGCTTTGTCTTGTCGCACTTTTGTCGTCGGTATTTCTTTTTTCGGCATTTCAGTGGGGAAATGTTGGCTAGATGCGTAGGAAACCCCCGGCCAAATCCCGACATAAATTACTTCCTATGATCAATAAATCCCGCCCATCAAATGCAAAACGAATATTATTAAAAATCTATCATTAACAGCCCGAAATTTGTTTAATTAAAGTAGGTTGAATTTCAGATATTAAGCTTCGGCAATATATTTACTAAAAGTGACATTTGGAATTGGCAATCTTCCAAAGAGCCAACATGCCCTCAACCCATTGTCTAGACTCTAGACCCCGTCGAGCTCAAAAAACTCATTTTGAGCCCCCCACCCTCCATTAAGCCCATTTCACTCGGCTCGAAGTTGGGGACCGGGGGGTGGTCCTTGGGCTGCCACCAAAAATTGGCAGCCAGAGAAGCTGAATTGGAATTAATGTAAAGCCACAGACGGGATCTGGTAGGTTTTCTGAACTTTCTGTGTTTTTGTATGATTTATAGGGAGCGTGCCAGCAAGGAACAGAGCATCAAATTAAATTCCATCAACTTTTCTAAACGGACGCGCAAGGCCGATAAATTCTGTCACCCATAGGCTGCTTAAGGATTACGCCGCGTCGGCGACATGCAACGCACCGGCAGCTCAGCAGCTGCGCACATGTCAATTCATTACGCAATGAAGTTTTGATCAACTGCGTTGCGTGTTCATACAAAAATCTATGGTGATGCCTTGCAGGCCCCTTTAAGTCCGATGGCCAGTTCCATGACTGCAAACTACAGGAGGTCCGGACTATTACCGTGATCAGTGTCAAACCATTAGCAGCGGCGTCAACTTCTGGAAGTAACGCCTATTTTCTAGTTATGCTAAAGGTCAACGGCAATGCTAATATTATTGTTTGTTGGTTCGTCCTATTTAATAGCCCAAATTGCGCACACGCCCAATTTTCGGGAAATGCCCTAGCCATGTGGAGTGGGTGGAGATTCACGTGTCGCCCCCCCCGCAATTTCCTACAGCCATTTTCCGTCAGACCATAAAAGTTGCAGCAATGGTGCGCGCCGGCCCACGCACAAACAACAATGAGCGAGCCAGGCTAAGCACTTGGAAAATAGATCGCCGAAAATGGAAGATGGAAATAGCCGTGATAGCGACTTTTAGGGAACAGGCAGATGTTTCTTATACCAGGTTTCGCATTGGGAAATTCAGTAGCATAGTTTTCCGAAAAAAAAACACATTAAAAAATAGTTTCAGCGGGATCGTTTAGGCGGTAGTTTCGAAAGGCTCCTGTCGATTATACAATAGGAGGCTAGCAGATACGATTTGCGGAATTTAAAAACTTCCGGAATTTACGAATTTTCTGCTTTATTTAAAGAAATAATAGGGACTCCGTTTCTCTTAAACAGCAAGATCTCTTCACTAGACATATTTTCACTTTTTCGAATTTGCAGCCCTTCAAAAGTCCATTTCCCAATTTTTTTTCTGCCCGCCCGCACGTCGTCATCTGATGGGATTAACCAGCCGTGAAGCGTAGGCACACACAGACACAACGGCGACGGTGAAATGGCAAGCCGGGGAGTTCGGCCCGATTTTTTGGCCTTTCGAATTATGCTGGACACAACTCCGCGTGGGTGGACCAAAGAAAGAGCTGTCGGAGAGTATTTGATAACCGGAAATGGTGAGGTAAGGGTGCGTCATCTCGCTAAAGATTTCTAGAGGATTTTAAATGTCTTTCGAAGCTCTTAATATTAAAAATTAGTGAAAAGCAGGTCTAAAAAACTAGCTATTTAATTTTAATTTTTTTAATCCTAGATACTTTCAGATTTTAGTAAAACTAAATAGCTCTAGAAATCTGTCGTCTAGCTAAAAATTTAGCAAAATTAATGGAAAAACATATTTGTGAAAATGAAGGGTAAGAAGAAGCTCTATGATTCATTTCGAATTATGAAAAGGCGGGAAGCTCTTTTTTTTGCAGAGAGTGAAATTCCAAGGGCCACTTTATAGTTTTATGACGCTAAATTTCGTGGAAAAGCGAGAAGACGATAAAATACATTGTCCGGATAGCGCATAGAAAAATCGTACTTTTATTTTCCAGCTCCATAAATGATTCATGGCCCCGTATAACTTGACCCCCAAAATCAAAATTCAGCCCTCGGAAACTGGAAAAAACACTTGTTTCCGCTCGAAAAAAACTTCCGTATCGCCAAACAATCAGTCGGAAAATGTGTTTGAATAGCAATGACGGGGCGAGGATTAATTATTTTTCGGGGGATTCTGGACTTTTTGGTCCATAGAGCAAATTAGGAGGGATCAGGAATCTGCACCAAAAGACGTAATGATCAAAAGTTCTAGTTTTTAATGATTTACTTCATAAAAGCGCTTCAATAAATAATTGGAGATGGAGGCCAAGCAGACTTTCGGTGAGAAATTTGTGGGTATGGGAGTTCTGTTGTGTATGTTGCCCTTGCAACCCAGCAAGGGCAAGCTAGCAGAAATAGTTTGCGAACGAGGGATTTTTTAGTAGGCTGAAGATGTCCATCCTTTCAATTGTCTGATCAGGGCATGCTAGCAGTTATGCTTTGGGGAAGGTGGCGCAGAGCAATGAGGATGCACGCTTCCAGTGGGCGGCCCGACAGCAACAACCTAGCGGAGATTCTTTGCGGATTTTTGAGATTCCTAACGAAAACCATTTTTGAAGTTATGCCGAGGAGTCTTGCTAGCAGAGATGTTCTCGAAAAACTATACTAGGGACTGTTTTAACTATTTTTCATGAGTTTTGGGAGTTTTGATACCTGGTAAATCCGGCAATTCGGCTTTTAGTAAACTTTTCAAAGTGGGCGATAGCAGAGATTCTTTGAGGAGTTTCATGTTTTCAGATTTTGCGCTTGTAGCAGCAGGAGAACAAAATAGGTTTTACTCCTACTCCAATTTGTCATTGATTTCACATTGGCAGACTAGCAGATACTTTTTAAGAGTCCTTAACGTCCCAAACCCTCCTCGTAGAGTTTATAGTTCAGAATTTTTAATTTATTTAATTCTTGTATAGGTTTGCTTAAAGTAAAAATAAAACTTTAACGAGTGAAACTGTGTTAATAAATCTCTAAAAATAATTATTGATCATAAAAAGCTGATTTTAGTTCGCTTAGTGGTTCCGCTTAAAAATTAGGTAAACTTTTCAAAATACACAAAATCTGTCTTCAGACAAAATTTCCCGTCCCTTTTAACCTGCGCCTTAAACCCCGCCCTATCCCGTGCCCCAGCTACCGTACCCCCACTGTAATTGCAAGAATTCCAAATCCAACAAGCCTTGCGGAATCCAGACTTAATGAAATCCGCGTGACGCTCATCGTCAAACAAAAATGCGAATCCAGCAGACCAGAATTTGAGGCGAAATTTCGGATTCCGTGAGCCCTTCGAGGTGGAAAACAAAGAAATTTAGGGCCCCGTCCAGCGCGCGAACACAACAACATTCCCGCGCTTGTAGGTGTCTTTAAAAATTTATGGAATTGCTGTGGGCCAATGGGAGCAATTGGAATTTTAGGCGCTTGTGTACTTGTTGGGAAAGTTTCTAAACGAGGAGAAGAGAAAGAGAGAGAGAGAGAGAGAGAGAGAGAGAGAGAGAGAGAGAGCCAGAGAGAGATAGAGGGCGAGAGATAGGGAGAGAATGAAAATCATGTTTTGACCGTCTTGCACTCGACGTTTGAAGCCAATCTCAATGGATTAGAAAAAACCGGAAACATTTACTTTTTAGCGTATCCGGCTGGCCTTCTCGAGTACTTTTGTTTGCTATCCACTGTTTACGTAAGATAATCCGTTATTTGCGATGTGTTTTTTGAGACTTGTAAGTGAAATGTTTATCCAAAACCCGGCAACGATCAAACAAAAACTGAGGAGCTTCTCACGATGGAATGGAGGTAGTAACGGCAAAACTCAACAAGCAAACTGCCTAACGATCCCTCAATGTAAAGTTCTCGGCCATATAGGCCTCATAGGTTTGCCAGGAATCCGATAAAATGTATCCTTTCCCGAGGTGGCGCTCAATCTCCGCCTGAGCCTCTTCGATTCCTTGATTCTGGAGGATGATGATGCAGCGGCGTTTCTTGAGGCGGGAGACCTGAAGATAGGTATTTTTAACGCATTTTTTGTTGTTTTTTTCGAGAGTCGGTGACTTGTTTTGAATTTCGATGAACTCATGAAGTAAGGAATTCTGCGTTATTTGTTTTCTAGGCTGTATAAAATTCACAATTGTCGATGTAGGCCCTTCGATGCCGGTCCGGGTACTCACAGCTCGATAAGCTTGAGTTTGAGCACGAATTTTCGGCGTTAATGTTTCGAGCATATCTTTGACGTGAGCTTCGAATTCGACACCATCGGCGAAAACCTAGAATTTGCCTTGTTTTTTGTTGTATTTTTGTATTTGCTCAAGAGGAGGTATCAGCAGGAGATAGAGCTATAGATAGAGCTATAGATAGAGAGAGAGAGAGAGAGCGAGAGAGCGGGAGACAGGGAAAGAGAGTGCGATCCTTACGTCGTGATGATCCGGCTGCTCGGCGATGATTATCCGTTTTTGTTCAACCTCGGGAGGGCACTAAAAATAAATCGATTTTTCAGCTTCTTGGTCTAAAGTCCAGCAAGAAATCTAGCTTTTAGGAGCTCAAAAAATCAGCATGAAAGCTCACATGAATCAGCGCCTGCTCAAAAACGTCGTACTCGTCCCACATCGCCACCCAGCACTCATTTTCTCGGTCGGGGATCGTGAACTCGAGGAACGGGAAATTTCTTAGCTGAAAAATTCCGGTATTCCACAATTCAGATGATAAATCTAGTTTTCTTCTATCTTGTTGTTCTTAATTTGCTACCTACCGGTCTCCAGAAGCTCGCATAATCAGCTGGGTCTTCGCCTTCATAGCCGGTCAGCGCCACGCTGGCCTGAAAAGGACAGAGGTAGCTGAGTAAGTTAACAAAGAAAATTTAAAAAAATCAGTTTGTAAACTGGTATTTTTAATCCATGTTTGTGCCAAGAAAAAGCTTAAGCTATATTTAAGAAAAATCAAAAATCAAAAAAACTTACAAAAGCTGGTGTCGGAATGACATCCAACCCCCACTGCTCCTCCATATCCATCTCGCTAGGCCGGTTGTCCTCGTTCTCAAACTCGGCCACCCAGTTGTCCATGTAATATCGGAAGGGGCCGTGGACGAAATCGAGCTTTTTCGCGTGACGGGCTACCTTCAATCAATTATGAAGCTTCATCTTGAAAGCTAGGATGACAAGCGTCAAAAACCGTCAAAAAGGAAGCGAAAACCATCAATTTGGCCTACCTTTCGGTCATGTGCCGACAGTGTGTAGCTCCAAAAGTCCGGGAACGTCCTCGTGAACCGGTTGACGAAGTCGAACTGCTGCTTCTTCGTGTCGAATGATCGTTTCGCGACGATACAAACTTTCCCATCTTGATGGCGACATGTTGCTGTGCATCTGGAGATTTATGGATTAACACTGGAGAGGGAGAGAGCGCGAGAGAGAGAGGGATGAGAGAGAGAGAAAGAGCGAGACAGAGAGAGACCGAGTGAGAGAGATGAGAGAGAAAAGAGATACTTACCTAGTTTTAGCATCATAGCATCCATGACAACTTCGGCACGACCGGCACCAGTAGCTGAGGTTACAAGCTTTGCAAAGAGTAAAGCTTTGTTCACATCTGGAAATAGAAGCTTTTGCAATTACTTTTGACAATATTTATTAGAAAAATTTTAGCATCATTAGGTAACAAAAATAGCTATCTGAAAAATAGGGAAATCTACGATCTAATGAAAGTTGAAACACGGACTTGACTGCATTTTTTATGGCTTAGTAGTTATCGAATACTCGCGTGTAAGTTTACTTACCCATAAGCGTCGTAAATATATTCCACTCGGACTTCTGGCCCGAAATCGTCGGTGAGCATGATGTTAACACTCTGGCGTCCGGCCTGTCGTCGCAAGTCTTGGCTGCTCGGGCAGTTCTCCTGTGGATTCTATTTTCAGGTATCGATTTTTAAGGCAATTATTATTTTAGCTTAAAATCGCAACGAAAACATTTAGCAGCTACAAGGTTTAGTTGACTACTTCTGGCATAAAACCTAGACTTTTCAACTCACCCAAGCCAACGTAACCGTCAGCTCGTCCATTTTTGTGTTGGCATAAAAGGGTAACGGCTTCAAATCAGCGAACATCTAAAATTCTTGATTTCTGTCGAGAACTAATAACGTACCGTTCCACTCCTTCGCAAATCCACCTTTTCGAGCAGGTTGGTTTTTGCGTAAACCTTCTCGCGAAGTTCCACCGGAAGCCATTCGAACGGGAAGCCGGTTTTTGAGGAGCTAGGGCTTGGCGTTTCTAAAATGCCTTTGGATGCTGCATGATAATAATTGGTTAAACAATTTATATTTAGATATCTACATAAGTTACAAACCAGAAAAATTTAATAAAAACTAACCTCTTGTCGGCGTGGCTTTCCGAGATTTGATAAAATCATAAGGTCTCCGCATCTCTTCAGGATTTGGATTATCGATGTTTGAAAATGACGTCGCTTCCTCTTCCGCCATGATTTCCGCTTCACATCTGCTCCCTTATCACGTGCCACTAAATTTTGCGTTGAAACACTAATAGCTTTTGGCGCGAAAATCAATAGTGAGTCTGTTAGACGCTGATTGAAGTTGAAAATTGTTTGACACACTAATAAGATGAAAACTACGTTTTAATGAAGTTTTTTAAAAGAATAAAAAGACATTTAGCTAGTAAAATGTCAGTGCGCAAACATTGACACGCACGGGGAAACGGTTACGCCATGTTTTTGGGTGTCGATTGAAGCGGAGCGGTTTTTATAGAGCAAGAAGGGAAAAGATAACTTTGGAAACTAGTTCCATTAAACTTAGCGAAGAGCTTATAAACGCATTTTATAAATTTCTAATTTCCTGAACTCGATGTAATGGATATTCGCAACCGGACGATTGGTCGTGGCGGTTTTGGTGCCGTTTATGAGGTGGATGGGCACAGCAAGTAACGTTTGGCTCTAAATTGATAGGTGCTCAAAATACTGTAGCTATAATGGTAATCCAAAAAGCTAAAACGATAACTTCTGTACATATTTCTATGTTTAGAAGGCTGGTCGTGAAAAAGCTGAACTGTTCAGCCACAGAATTCGATAAGGAGCTGAAAACCTTGAGGCTCTTGATGCACGAAAATATTGTCCGCTTCTACGAACGGCCAGAAAATTACAAACCTGACCATACCGGCGAATTTTCGATCTTTATGGAGTACTGTGAATGCGGGACCCTTTACTCAGGTATTTTGGTCTAAAGCGAAAAGGTGCAGCTAAATCTAGTAATCACCAACCCCGAGATTGTCTATACTGACGGAACACTAATTTTCTGGGCTATCGGATTATTCGATGCCCTAAAATACATGGAAGAAAAGCGGATTATTCACTATGATATTAAACCGGAAAAGTAAGCCGTTTGGGAGTAACGTCATGGAAATACAGTATTTTCCTAAACCGTGATTACACCCCAAAAATCGGCGATTTCGGAATAATGAGGATGGCGGACGATCCGGACTTCACACTTCGCGGAACTGCCGCCTATATGGCTCCGGAAGTTAGGCTAGAGAAAGTGGTGCCGATTGAAGTTTGTCGGGCCCATTTTATTGCTTTATAAAATACCTTAAGCAACGTTTAAAGTGTGATATCTATGGAATGGGACTGGTTATGTGGGAGGCAATGACGAGAAAGTAAGTTTCCGTATTTTAGGCCGGCTCTCAGCTTCAGAGACTTGAAAGCTAACCGTAATAGGCTTTAGACCCTTTCTACGAAAAGAAAAATACTACAACCAGGAAGATCAGCAAGGAAAGACCCCAGGAGCGCAACTCTTATCCCTTGTACAAAAGTAAGCTTTGATCTAATGCTCTATAAAAAATTAGGGCCTGCGAAGAGGATTTTCAGAAACGACCAAGTGCAAGTGAAGTTTTGACGCTGCTCGAAAACCTGGTTAGTCGCTAAAACCTCCCGAATCATCGCTTCAGGTCCCTAACCACAAACACTCGATCGAGATCCGATTCAACCACAAAATTCTTCTCAAACCAATCGGGCTAGATGGAAGGAATATTGAGGCCGCTGTCCAAGAAGTTATTCACGTCCCGGCCGCTTCAATCTGGGGAGCATCAAGCATGGGTCGTCAGGTTTTCGAAGCAAAAAGCGAACAACCAGCGGAGCTCTACCCAAAATTCCAACGTTGGTTGGAGACGCTGGAGCTGGAGACGGACTTCGACGATTTGATCATGAATTTTCGGCTACGAGGTCATCAATATTGGTGAGTAGGGGCATCACCAGAATTTTTGACCATTCGATCAAATTAATCGTGCTAAAAATTTTTATGGCAAGTTGGAAATAAATCCCAACAACGCCTTTTCTAGGACCGAACGTGGATGGCAAATCGGCCTGGACGCCTGGGACGACATGGTCCCGGATCTATGGATCTCCTCATCTCTAGATTCTGGTCATGGTTACAACCTTCCGGGTGCCCGCTTCCGGGAGCATTTCTGGGAGGCAGATTTCGGTAGCCAAAAAATCAATGGAATCCGACGTGCCATCGCTGAGACGTTCAAGGTCGGAAAATTTCAGATGTCATGAAATCTTCATCTAGGCCAAAACTCCATCGGGCGAGGTTCCAAAACATGCCAACAACTACGAAGCAGCCCTGAGCAAGGAAGGGAACTTTGATGCGATCCCGCTACCCGATAGCTTCAACTCGAAGCAATATTCGCTATTCCTGCACGCCCCATTTCTGCAGTTGCTCTGGCTCGACGCGACGCTGTTCGATTGTGCCTGGAGCTTCGCGTTTTACACAATGACGCGGCATCCGGATTTTTGTTGTTTGGGATGGACGCGAGATTGGAAGCTCCTCACCGAGCGGGCGCTGAAAAACGTTGAAGAGGCCGCCAAGTTTGGGCTGAAGGTTGTTGAGTGCAGTACGGGCTATGAGGTGGCGACGGCGACACCATATGGCGTCAATCATCCCTGGATGAGTTGGCCGGGCACCAAGTGGGAGATTCGGATGGATTTTGAGGGTAAGGTTAGGGCGGTATCGTTTTGGGGCTACGTTTTACTCCCCCCCAGCCGGAAGGTTTTGGCTATAACTTTTTTATTTTACATATATTGTAGGCTCCAATTAAAAATATTAGGGGGGGGTGGGTGAAGTACTAGCATTTTTGGCTTGTTATGTGCTGCATTCATTGCAAGCTGGTGCAACCGAATTTCCACAATCCTAATATTTTATAGCTGTGCGACGGGCCAGCGTGAATTCGGCCCGTTACGGGTCGCAGTTTACCAGACCGGTCGGTGAAATTCTAAAGCGCGCCCTGGCCGATCGCGTACGGTCAATGGGTCGTTTCGATGCGTACCCGGAAATTGAGAACTGGGCATCACATGAGAACGTCAGGTCGCGGTAGGTTTTACGAAAGTGGTTGAATTTAGTCGATCGTCGCTTGTAAAATGGAATCAAGGAAGCAAACTGGAACAAAATACATTTGAAAAACAATAAATTGCTTCTTTAGGTGGGCTGAGCGCTGGGATCGCGTAGAAGAATTGAAGACGCTGCCTTTCAAATACGTTTTCAACCCCAACCGACCTCCGACAGTCGGCGATGAGAGAGCATGGCCGTTTAGCTTTAAGGCAAGTGAAGCAGCGTTACTATTTAACACCTCCTAAATTCTAAAAAATCGTTCTTTGCTCTAGGACGATTCAAAACTGTTTTAGACCCAGTGGGATGCTCCGCCCCCTAAATCCACGGCACTCCCAACACCTCAACAAAAGGCATTCATCGATGCTCACGCCTTCTATGAACGCGCTTTTCGCTACCTAATCTATTGGCAGTTGCGTCAAAAACAATTTATTCTACACTTGCTCATCGACGATTTACTCGCCAAAACCGAAGCACTTGGCGATGACATCCCGGCGTACCCAATTTTCGTCATGGGGAATGGCGATCACTTTGGTGCCCTACTCGTGTTGTGGAAGAAGGAGTCCCTCGGCTTTGATCCTGAAGTTCCGCTACTGCGCGGTCCGGGCTTCACACCTATACAGATAATTGATGCGGGTTTGGCCAGCTCTATATTTCGTAATTATCTCTATAGCTCTACACCTTGAGGATGCGCATTATTATGGCAAAAACACCGACGACGAATGGGTTCGGATTTCATAATTTTTCAAGAGGGTTAGGTGATTTGCAGTCACACCAACTTCGTCAAAAATGGGATGATCGCATATATCCGGATATGCCAGATTGCTATACGGGTGGGTAGCTTTATATTTTCATCGATTTGCTACAGTTTGTCAAAAAACATCTTTGTCGAAAGACCACTTGGCGAAAATTTCATCTTGTCGAAATTTCCTTTTGTCGAAACTTCAATTCCTTTTTCATCTCGATTATTCTAGCTAGCAGTTTGTCAAAAAGCGCTTTGTCCTAATTTAACTCTGTCAAAACTTTAATGCGCTGAGACCTCAATTGGCTTCTGACCAATGATAATGAATAATCGGGGGCGAAAAAGGTATTGGAATCGAAACATTGAATACGACAAAAAATATAACAAAAAGATATTTCGACCAAATGATTTTTGACAAAATGCGAATGACCTGATCTCAACACACTGAGATCGGGTCTAAAAATCAGAAACATGGAACTATCATTTTTTTCAGGCGTCATGATGGTCCATTTCTCCGAACTGCTGCCGATGTTGCAAAAAATCGCCGCCCGGTTGCGCGTGTTTGTCAAAATGGGCGACCCACAATTGGGTGACTACAAAATTCAGCTTGATGACGTGCAGCTCGCGGGTAATTTTCAACACAATTTTGATCATAATTTTTGATTCAGAGAAAATGGCCTACGAGCAAGATATGCAACAAGAATTTGACGATTTTTGGAACTCTCGGAAAATCATAAAAGTAAGGAATGTAGGCGGATGAATGTTGACGTTTCATAGGTAGCTGACGTGAAAGTTGAAGAGCTGAAACGCGAGATTATTGCATTACAATTAAAACGCGACGAAGCTGTGCGATCATCAAAACCGAAAAAGAAGAAAAAGGGCAAAGGAGGGAGGACAAGCTATTTGGATCGGCTTCGGCATCGGTTCACCAGCTAAAAAATCTTGGTTACCACGTATCCGCGTAACCTTACGCAATTTTTCTTGCCATGTTTACGATAATAAACTTCGTTTCCTAAACACTGAGATGACACAAGGATCCGCACACTGAGACCAGCTGGGAGTCACGAGCAGTGAAGCCGGCACCTTTCAGCTAGAACAATACCGGACTGAAATTTCTATAAAGAACGGAACTTGATTGGTACGAATGCCATTTATTGCACTTTTCCTACACTCCTTGCGGGCACGATAATTTATGCATAGAATGCGTCCCTCGTCGCTCAAGCTGCTCTTCTTCTTGTCTAAAAATGGCGTAATTTTGCAATCCTATAACCATTGTTTTTGTACGCACCAAGATCGGCTCGCCCTCATTGCTGAGACAGCTAAACTTATAAGGCCCAGAATCGTAGACTTTCCGCAGTCTTGGTGCGTCATCAGCGGCCCAAGTCAAATTGGCAAATGACCTTGAAGAGGTTTTACCTTTTCTAAAATCTGCAGATTAAATAAAGAGATCCATAAAAGCGAAGGTGTGCACGTTGAAAACACAAACCTATTCTCGAAAAATTCCACAAGAGCTTCATCTTGCAACTCGCTCAAGCAGTATCCCACTTCGACGGCCGGGTAATACAATAAAAAGTTGACGCACATTTCATCAGAATGCCCAGGGCCGCTCTGAAAAGGAGCTTTTGATGTTGCCAACCACGATTGAAAATTTGTGAATTTTCGGACTTACAAAAGTCGTCTCAGTTCGATTGGTGGTATCATAGACGCAGACAGTAGTAAGGGAATCACCCTAATCGAATGAGAGTGTCATGGTCAAGTTTTATACTGGCATTAGCGTCCTTGGCGGATCGAACATCACAAAGTGTTGATCTGCCGCCCGAAATGGGTCGATTCGCGAGAAATCGCTGATTGGTTTGCCTATTTTGACGGATTGCCAAGAAGTGCAAAATGTAGACCGTCCCGCTCGATACTCGTCCAAACCTTTGTCGCAGCACCATGAGCATGAAGTTCGCTGCCAAAAATCTTGAGACCAGTAGTTGGGAACTAAAAACGGTTTTGTATTCTGGAAACACCCTTACAAGAGCAGTACAATCCTTCGTACAAACGCTTTTCAAAGGAAAATCCCGCTGCGATGGTGGTATCACCATAGCTTTGGAAGTAGCTGGAGTACCAAGCAGTAGAACACCAGCATCGTAGGGCCTAAAAGATGAATTTCATGCTGGAATCAGCACGAGGAGAACAGTAAGAAACTTAAAGTACCTCAAACTGGAAGTGACAGTCAGCTTCAACCCCGAATTGTCGATGAGTCCGACTTTTTCAGCGTGGTTGTGGTAGTGGATCTCGATCATGTAATAGGGGACAACTTCCGGCCCACCGAAGGGGAAGCCGGCTTCTTTGGGGAGGATGAACGCCTAAAAAGAAAACAATAAAAACATTACGTAACAGTATGTAAAGTGTCAGGATATGTAGTCAAACGTAAAATCTTGCCAACCCCTGCCGAGTTGATCCCCCAAGCCGCGATGTCTCTCTTGCATTGCTTTAAACCAAATTTGTCGCAAAGTCCGCTATATGGACCTGCGGTTGTTGCATCACATCCAAAAAGCTGAAAAAATGTAATAGTTACGCTTTTCGAAAAACTGAACAACTGTGACCAACTCGAATGTGGTGAACAAGGCCTGGGATGTGGGGGTACAAGATTGGCTCAAACTGAAAAAAAAATTCAAAACGCAGGTAAAACGTTGTCAAAATTTGCAAAACTTCTTGCAAGGAGCAAGAGGTTTTAGTATAAATTTTTTACCTTGATTAGGTGATGTTTCTGGATCATCAGCCGATCGGGCATTTTCACAACTTCACACCAATAGGTTGTTGGTACTGATGGAACCTGAAAATCTTAGCTTAGTTTAGCTTAGCAAAACCGTGCCTTTGTATTAGATGTCGTAAGGTTAATAAAATATTCATCCTCCTCCGCTTCTTCCTCATTTTCATAACCTTTGAGAAACCGAGATAACAAATAGAAGAACAGGAAAGTAAAGACGCTGAGTACGGCGATAAAGTTACAGTTTTGGCGCATTTTGGCAAGCACAACTTTGATATTTTTCCGAACCGTTTTGCGTACTTATATGTGTTTTGTACGTGCACTTTTGTAGAATTTAGCATAGCAACCCGCCCAGTGGCATTCGTCCAAATTCCTGTGAGAAACCACTATGAAATTCAGATCCCAGTTCGTTCTGGGACCACCTGGGAGAGCACAAAACCGCTCAAAAATTTATGTAACTTTTACTGCAAATGTGTGACCAGATTTTGCAGGATGACTGGGAAGGAACTTTGCTCGGATTTTCAATGCATCTTAACGATTTTTTCAATTCTTTTTTTCTCGTGCAAATGTTCGCGTGCGCTTTTAGCAATTGGTTATATTTTATGTCGTTTTATTACAGGCAATACGGTGCTTCAGCCATGGCCCATTTTTAAACTCGATTTCCTTGTTGATGTCGCTCGTCCGTCCCCTGAAGTTATGGATTTTCATTTTTTGGAAAAGTTTACAACAATTGGCCCTCCTTCCTTGTTGAGACAACTAAACTTGTTGGGCCCAGTTTCATAAAGCTCTTCTAAATGCCGTGCCTCGCCATCGGTCCAGGTTAAATTTGCAAATGGGTTTGTTGTGTTATGTCGTTCTCTAAAATGTGCTTTGCTTGGAAAAATTTGAAGTTATTCTCATCAAAAATTCACCTACTTTTTGCTAAAGAACTCATCCACAGCTTCAGCTTTTGGCTCACTAAAACAATATCCCACTTCCACCGTCGGATAATACAGCAGGAAATTGATACACATTTCATTGGAATGGCCAGGACCACTCTAAAACGTACCGGCCTTTACACTACTCTCTGTTCTCACTCTCTCTCTCTCTCTCTCTCTCTCTCTCTCTCTCTCTCTCTCTTCTTTCTATCTTTCTCTCTTATTCGCTCTCTCTCACTCTCTTGCTCTATTTGTCTCTCTCGCTCTCTCTCGCTCTCTCTCGCTCGCTTTCCCTATCTCCCTCTGTATCTCGTCTTTCTCCCTATTTCTCTCTGTCTCGCTCGCCCTCTCTAGCTCTCTCGCGCTCTCCTTCATTTTTCTAAAATCTTAAAATCTATTTCCAAAATGGAAAACAACCACGCGAGGTCGACTTACAAAAGTCGTTTCCGTACGATTTGTCGAGTCGTAGAGGCATACTGTAGTTAGAGCATCACCCTAGAGACAGAGAACGTTAAAAAATTTCTGAAAATACTGGCATGATAGTTATTGGCGGGTCAAACAACTGGAGATGTCGCTCAGCCGGGACAAATGGGTCGAGCCTGGCTAGGTCACCGATGGCTTTGCCTGTAAAAAATGCAGTAAATATCGGGCATTTCTTACTGCCTACCTTCCCGTTCGATCGTTGTCCAAAGCTTCGTGGCGCTTGCGTGAGCATGGAGTTCACTGCCAAAAACTTTGATGCCGGTGGGAGGAAACTGAAAATTTTTCCCTCACCGAGAGCTTCGTCGTAGTGAATTTCTGGCCTTGTTGCGGTGCATGTATGCGGTGCGTCTTGTAGCAAAATTCCTTACGCCTTTAAACTCACATTTCCAGTACACTCCTTTGGACAAAGTCCTTTGAAAGCAAAATCTCTTTGTCCAGGCGGGATCACCATCGATTTCGACATGGCCGGGGTACCGATTAATAGGACGCCTGCATCGTAGGGGCTAGAAAGACCGATTACTTTGCTCGGCAAAAACATTACCGAAGTCTGGAGGTGACGCTCAACCTCAATCCTGAGCTGTCGACAAGGCCAGATTTCTGCGGGGCATTGTTGTAGTGGATCTCGATCATGTAGTACGGCACAATGTCTGGACCGCCGATTGAATACCCCGCTTCTTCCGGGAGGATGAAGGCCTAGGAATTGAAATAATATTATCTGAGGGATCAGAGTAAACTGTAAATCAATGCATGGATCTTGGTAACTCTTCAAGTTCCGGTTTGATAAAAAATGCCCAGAGTTCGAAACGAGTAGCATACCCCAGCCGAACCAATTCCCCAGGCAGCAATCTCCTTTTTGCAACGTTTTGCACCGTCGATCTCGTCGCATGGTCCATTGTATGGCGTTGTAGCTGTTGATTCGCATCCGAAAAGCTGAAAAAGCTACACTAGGCTATTAGCGGGGGGGGCGCAATTTTGAATCAAGTTCAAATTTCACCAGTTCCAATTTTCTCAAAATTTTTCTTGGTTTTCTAGCAAAAAAAATTACTAAAAACGACATAGTAATGAATGCTTATCAATAGAGGCATAGGAGCAAAAAGACAGAAATTTATCCCTTTCGCTAGACAAAAGAAGAGACATACCCTAACGTGATGGATCAGCCCTGGAACATAGGGTTGTAGGATCGGTTCGAGCTGAAAAATCATCAATTATCGATCGGGGAAGTTTAGAAATGGCGTAAACTACAATTATACTATTTTTGGGTTCTTACATACCTTAACCAAATGATGCTTCTGACTCAACAGCCTCTCCGGCATTTTTTCCACTACGCACCAATATGTTGTTGGAACGGACGGGACCTTAAATCAGTAAATAACCCGAGGTTTTGAATTTGAATGATCTCAACATGACCTTAATTCTCTTTAATGGGCTAAAACCCATACCTTGGTATCCGAAGTTGTAAGGTTAATAAAGTATAAACCATCTCCATTGACCGAGACTGGCGCAAAATTCGACACAAAATAAAATATTAGCAACGGAAATACGCAGACCATGAGTATGAAAATCAAGGTATACGGCATACGCTTAAAAACCTCTCGAAATTGAAGATACTGCGACGGTCGTCGTCAATAATATATTTTTGTCGAGAAACGTTGTCGATTTTTGTCGAGTCCCGCTATCGTGTGAGAACCGCTTTTAGAATTCAAATCAGCCCTTTTCAGGAGTTTCGCGTCGCACCGAAATTGTGTGGGCATGTGTGAAAAATGGCTCCAAAGGTATTGACTCTCAAGCCACAAAATACTGGCCTTGGAAGAATAGTTTTACGTTATTTAAGTTTTTGGGTGTAATTCGGAAATCAAGGGCTGAAACTTTTTATATACTTCACCTCATAAACAAAATTGCAAAACTAAACTTCAGTTTAAACAGAGAAGGCTTAAAAAGTAGCCTTCCACAAAATTTACAAAACCGATGAAATTGGCATAAAAATTTGCATAATTAGCTTTGATTCCGACAAAATTTCTTTCCTTTCTTTCTTTCATTCCTTTCCCCCGAAATCTTGTCATTTTTCGTACTCGCCCACCGCCAAGATGGGCGTAAGTTTTTCATCAATTCCGATCATGATTTTTTTAGTTTCCGGAGAGCACCTCGAAGAAGAAGCCACCATCGAGCGTTTCCTACCCGCGGCAGCAGATGACGCCGCTATCCCAGCCCTACTACCCACAGCAGCAGCAGCAGCAGCAGCAGCTGCCGGCTCAACAAGTACAGTCCATTAAGGATTACCAAGATGCGCACGGGAATCGTACGGGCGCGTCATAACGTGGCGTACAGTAGTGAAACGGGCATAAGTGTCGCGTACGGTCGCGAAGATCAGTATGGCGTACACTAGCGTGACATACCTTGCTGAACATTGGCGTAACGTGACGTATCATATAGTAGCGTAGCGTAGCTTCCCGCTTTCTTTGAAAAAGTCACGCAACGGATGGTATTTTGCGCTCTCTTGCAGGTTTTGGTATGCAGAACCGTTTTTCACGTATCTTACAGTAGCGTACGGTAGCTTACCCAGCGTACAGTAGCCGATTGTATCTCTCGAACATCCTGAAGCGTGACATTTCTTAGCGTTCCGGGTCAAAGCGAACTGTATATGGCAGCGTATCGTAAGCGCCACGTAGAGAAGAAAACGTAACGTATCGGATTGTAGGATACGGTAGCGCTGCGTTGTGTCGTACAGTGTACGCTAGTGATGTGTCGCGTAGTGCATCATATTACATTGTACGGCAACCCGGATTATTTTGTTTGTTCCTGTCCTAATAACTGATGTTTCAGCCGCAGCAACAGCAACAAGCACCTCTAAGTCAGCTGCCGCCTGCACAACTCCAGCAAGGGCAGCAGCCGGGACAGCAGTATCAATCCCTACAACAGCAACCCGCGCGACTTCCCTACCAGCCGCAGCAGGTCGGTTAGGTAACTTGATAGAGAGAGAGAGAGAGAGAGAGAGAGAGAGAGGGAGAGAGAGAGAGAGGGTCAGAGAAGGAGAGTGAAAGAGCTAGAGAGACATACTATGCGCAAGTCAAGCTTGTTATTTCCAGCCCGCACAGCCCGTGGAACCACCGTACGCGAACTTCCCGCCGCCACCAAGCGAACCGCGTCCGGCCAAGTCCAACTCGAAGTCGAAGTCAAAGTCCAAGAGCAAGATGAGCTCAGCCAACTACCCGAGGCAAGCCCCGCCACCTCCACCGCCTCCACCTCCTCCTCCAACTACGGCACACCAACGGCAGCAACAGGCTTCTCAATACGTAGGACAGCAGGTGCGAATTTGTTTGTTTATTTTGTATAAATGTTTCGGAGCTGGGCTCTTTCCGGGGGGCGGGGGTTGGTCAGCCCGGAAGCGATTTTTCTACTCGACGAAATAATTATAAACCTTGAATATAAATAGCTCTATATAAACCTAAATATAAATAACACCGAGATAAAATGTTCTTAAATATTTATGTTTTTCGAAAGTATCGAATTTTTTTTGGTGAAATATAGGTTCTGGTGCGTTAGCGGGGGGAGAGACCTTTTATACGCAACGCAATAGGCAAACTGGGAAAGAAATAATTGGTGTGAGTTAGTAACGAGTAGGTATAACCTCAAAAATAAGTAGCTACACCCCTGCTAACAGAACAGAATCTATTTTTTCAGCCGAAAGATGCCCGAAGCGAGTACCTGCCGGCTCCGGGAGAAAAGCCCAAGGCGCCGTCTCCGCAATCTTTTTCGCCGAAGCCGCCAAGCCTCGTACTGATGTCATTCAGCTTCGAAAATTTTAATTTTCTCAGATTCCATCCCCCTCTGACTACTCCGGATCGGCGCCGAGGAGCGAATACTTCCCGGAGAAGCCCGGCTCCGCACCGGCTTCACCAGATCAGGTATGGTTTTTGTAGCATCGAGGCTTTATGCTTTCCCGTCTTCCATGACTTTTTATACCTCGACTTTTTGCAGTCCGGGAAGAGGTCGCGGGATTTGTCGCCGCAAACCCCACCGACGCCGGCCGACCAAATCGCCCAGTCTCCAGTGGTCAAGCCAAAGAAGAAGAAGGTATCGAATTCGAGCTAGACGGGCAAGGAAGCGCTACAAGCTCTGATCTGCCGCGACGCGCAACGCAACGCACCGCTAGGCCTCGCGGACACGGACAAACACAAAGACAAAAATGGCCAAAAAACCGTGTCGATCTTTCTCCTGCTAGAAAATTAGCTTTTAGTAAAAAAACCAGGGTTGAAAAACCGCTTCGCGGCTTTTCAACCCTGGCCCCGTCTAGGACCGATGAAAGTCTTGCATTTGCATGCTTCTTCCCCGAAATCTATCAGGAAAAATGTGAAAAACGGCTCCTCTGTCGCTTTATATAGGCTATCCCACTTCCGGCTTATGCTAATTGATCCCTAACAAAGAGGGTGGGCGAGAGTTTTACAAAAATTTGTTTTTAATAGCGAAAATAACAACTTTTCAAAGATTTTATGTGCGTGCAGTCGATTCCGGACCCTTCTTTACCTATTGACGTTTCTTCCTAATCGAAAAAATTCTTCCCTGAGGCTGTAGGTGCGGAACATCCTCACGTAAGTTGCATGCAAATGCACACACACACACAGACACTATTTTTTTATATATAGTAGGATAGTAGGATAAAAAATAAAAAATAAAAAAAAAATAACTGGCCCTGAATTTGCATCCAAATTACCATAAACCGGCAAATTCGTAAAAATTCCAAAAATTCTTTCATTTTACTTCTACGCAATCCCCCAGGATGCCCGTTGTATGTTTTCTTACGCTTTTGAGGTTCAGCGCAAATTATCAAACAAAACTCTAATATTTGGATTCTAAGTGTCTTACCGTATTTTTTTCCAGAAAACCAAGGCGCCGAAGGGCTACCAGCAGCAGTCGCAGTACGTCGGGCAGCAGCAGCAGCAGGTATCCCTTTCTATCTCTGTCTCGCTCTCTCTCTCGTTCTCTTTCTCACTCCCTCAACGTTCGAACTTTTCAGGCTCCGCCTCCGCAGTACCCGCAGCAACAGTACGCGCCACAACAACAATACGCACCGCAGCCACAGTACGCCCAGCAGCAGCCGCAGTACCGCCCCCAGCAACAGGTTGGACAAGTTTTAGGCTGCATGCAGCGAAATTTTAGGCCCCCATCGTGGTCCAGCAGCAGCAGCCGCCGCAGGTCGTCTACGTGCAATCGCCCGCCCCACCGCCGGCCTACTACTACCCGGTGAGAGAGAGATAGAGAGGGAGAGAGAGAGAGGGAGAAAGAAAGAAAGGGATGAAGATAGAGCTACAGACGCTCCCGATTTTCCGATTTACACCTTTTTCAGCCGCCACCGTACTACGGAGGTTGCCCCGGCTATGGCTACTGCTGTGATCCGGTATCCCTGAAATTTCTAAACTCTGAAAACCATCTTTTTCCAGTGCTGCTACCACTACAGCACCTGTTCCATCATGTGATCGGCTCTTCTGGCTTCTCGTGCTCGACCTCATCCTCCGCCCCAACTCCTTCAACTACTCGCCCGCCCACACAAAATACCCAAATTTTCATCGAAACGACAATTCTTCTGGCAGCCAACAATCGAAACTCAACGACTTTTCATTCCGGATACTCGCCCTGTGATTGCATTAAATTTGGTCGTCGCTTTGTTGAATAAATGGTTTTGAGTTTGGTTTCTTTCTCGCTCTCTCTCTCTCTCTCTCTCCTTTTCTGACTTTCTTTATCTGTCTCCCGTGCTCCAATTTGCGGTCTCATGCTCGAATACCACCTTTTTCAAGCGAGTTCCAAAATAACAGCCTGTGCCCTTTGGGCCTAACCCCATGCTCCGATGGCGAGAGGGGAAGAGAGCAAGCAAGAGAGAATGGGCCCCCGATCCCCCGCACCGGATGCCCCAAGCTATGGAGGGTTGTCGGCACCCTCATGCTCAAGGCTCTCGAGCCCGTGTGGTCTTTGTTCTATCACGTCTCTCTCTCTCTCTCTCTCTCTCTCTCTCTCTCTCCATTCCCGACTGTCCTCAAACAGCCCCATCCCGGCTGTGCCGCAATAGATCGCTCAAAAGACCCTCAGGCTCACTGGGCCCCCCAGAGCGAAAAGGGGGCCTCAAAAATCGACTTGCCACCGGCTCACTCTCACTCTCTCGTGTTTGGCCTCTAATCCTTTCTGATCTGATTCGATCCATACCGATCACCTACTCTACTCGAGTGCTTGATTACTTTGTATATACGGCATCGTCTGGATTTTGGCCAAATTGCATTAGATTACGGTGTCTGGATGACGGATGGCGGCGAATGATGAGGTGAGTGGGATGTTTTTGTTGTTGCTTTCTGAAAGATCGAATCTTTCAAACGACCTGGTTTTCAAGCTCCCGGATCCATAAAAATTCAGAATTTTGGGATTACGGTATCTTGATGAGTGGGCCCTTCGATTCAGCCCAAATAAATTTTCGTGTCAAATTAAAGTTTTGCCCCCCCTTTACACCCCTTTTTTTCAATAGCTGCGATAAATTTAATTGACGATTTTTAGCATCCCACTGTAAAAAGGATGTTTTAAAAGTTGATATGAGCCGATAAAATATCCAATTACGATAGATTATGATTTAAAAAGTTTCCTGATGCCTGGTTTTGCCAGGGCATTTTTTAAGGATAGGATATCGCCAAAATCCAGCTTCTAAATGTTGCTAATAAACGGCCGAACAAAAAGCTCGATTGATTGAGCGCTTAGCATATGATTAAATATGTTTCCAAAACTGTGGTTTTGTTCAGGAATTCACCTGCGATTTCACGATCCACGGCTATTTCAAGCTGAGGCTGAAAAAGGGAAAAGTAATACCACACTCGTTGCGTACACCGGTTTGCTTTGTAGCCCACAAATTTCTCTATCCCCACTTTCCTATCTACACCTTTCATGACTTTGGAATATAAGTTGATGGCTTTTCTGCACATTGAGTCGCATATATACTTAAATCTAGGGGTTACACGTTCTTTGGAATGTTGTGGATTTACGAATTGAAACAATGTAGTATTTACGGAAAGTGATTTAGATCAGCGTCGAGGAGTACAGCTACGACGAAGAGGAGGAGGAGGAGGACGAGTCGGAGTGGTCGTACTACACCGAGGTCGGTCAAAAAATTGCTTTAGAGGGACAGGCAAGACCAGCATGACTCTGGATTTTAAGTAAGGGATTTCTAAGGCTTCCGTGAGGCTCCCGACACGCAACGCGTGTCTTGGCGACACGTACACAGAAATCTCAGGAAATTCATCATCTCAAAATCCATCATCATCATTCCTTTAGTCCCTATTTTTAGACCGATGAAGAAGAGCCAGCAGCCCCTCAGCTTCAAGAAGCTTTTCCAAAGCTGAAGGACGAGAAGAAGAAGGAGGATGACAAGAAGCCCGAGCAGGGTGGGCTAAAAGTCAAAGATGAACCTCAGACTCCCCTTACGCCCCAGACTACCGCCACATTCAGGTAGAAAGAGCCTCAAACGGATAATCAACTGTTTTAGCCTTCCCACCCTAAAGAAAGATCCGCCAAAGCTTGCACCGACTACCGTAAAGGAGGATGAGGCGAGTGAAGAGGTCAGTCTTTTGCGGAAAAGTGAGCACGCACAACGCAAAAATTTCTAGATTTGTACCAGTCAAATTGACATTCCAGGATGAGGACGAAGAGTGGTCAGACGAAGAGTGGTCCTACTACACTGATGAGGAATCTGAAGAAGAAGTAGCACCAATTGGCGATTCCAAAAAAGACGATGCCAAGTTCCCGAAGCTCAAAGACGCGACCGAGCCCGAAGTCGAGGTCAAGCTCGCCCTCCCCAAGAAGGACGAGAAGAAACCGCTGAAGCTCAAGGTTGATGAGGAGCCCGAAGTCGACGCCGCTTTTTCCCTACCCGTGAAAAAGCCCGAGGCGAAGAAAGATGAGCCAGAGTCGAGCTTCAGCTTCAAGCCCAAGACTGAGCCTGCGAAGCCAGCTGAGGCCCCAGTGAAGAAGGGAAAACCTGCCCCCTTGAATATTCCAGCTTCTGCCTCGACGAAGCTGCCGGAGCCTGACAAGCCGAAACCTGAAGAGCCGAAAGAGCCACCCTTGGTGTTCTACGGTGAAAGCTTCACCCTGGCTGAGCCTAAAGCAAAGAAGCCTGAGCCTAAGAAAGTCGAGCCTGCCAAGCTAGCTCCAAAACTTGCTTCAAAACCCTCTGAGGACGAGGTCCCATGTGAGGAGATCGGAAAGCCGGCCGCCAAGAAGGAGCCGAAGATTGCGTTCAAGGAACCGGAAAAAGCAGCTGCAAAGCCGGCAGCAAAGCCGGGTGAAGCTGCTTCAAAAGACCCAAAAACTGCTCTTACGACAAAGCCTGGAGATCTGAAGAAACCGGAAGTGACCGGGACTACGGAGCCACTTGCCAAGCCGGCTTCAAAAGCTCCGTCCAAGCCAAGCTTCGATGAGGAGATTCCGTGCGAAGACTTGGGAGGTCCGGCTTCGATAAAGAAAACACCGACTATCAACTTTAAGGACCCGGTGAAGCCAGTAGGCAAAGCGGCTGAGCCTGCCAAGCAGGTTGCGAAGCCTGCAGAAGCCGCAAAGCCAGGCACAAAGCCAGCTGAGCCCGCTAAGCCAGTAGCAAAGCCGGGAGAAGCCGCTAAGCCAGCTGCCAAGCCAATTCCAAAAATTAAGCTACCGGGAGATGAACCGGAAGCTGCAGCTACGCTGGCTTTGCCTAAAAAGCCGGCACCCACTGCCAAGAAGCCGGTAGATGGCGAAATCCCAGCTGATCTCTTGTCTGAAGCTCCCAAGAAGCCGGAAGTAACTCCAAAGTTTAAGGCCCCTGGCGAGGAACCCAAGCCCGCAGCTGCAAAACCTGCTGCCAAGCCGGTGCCAAAACTAAAAACCGAGCCAGAAGCTGATGCGACGCTGCCCTTGCCGAAGAAACCGGTGGCTGCCAAGCCTGCTACACCAGCGAAGCCGGGAGACAAGGAGGTTCCCGCTGAACCTCTTGGTGTCGCTCCAGCTAAGAAGGCTACGCCGCTGCCGCAGTTCAAAGATCCGAGTGAGGAGTCGAAGCCTGTAGCCGCCAAGCCAGTCGCCAAGCCAGCTGCGCCAGCCAAGCCTGGAGACCAGGAAGTTCCGGCTGAGCCACTTGGAGGTCCACTGAAAAAGACGACGCCAGCTCCAAAATTCAAGGACCCGAGTGAGGAACCTAAACCTTTGGCTGCAAAGCCTGCTGCTCCTGCGGCAAAGCCATTAGCAAAGCCAGCTACGCCAGCCAAGCCTGGAGACAAGGAAGTTCCGGCTGAGACGCTGGGAGGTCCAGCAAAGAAAGTGACTCCTACGCCCAAGTTCAAGGAGCCGGGTGAGGAACCTGTGGCTGCGAAGCCAGCTGGTGCAGCTGCTAAGCCACTTGCCAAGCCTGCGACGCCAGCAAAACCAGGAGACAAGGAAGTCCCGGCTGAACCACTTGGTGCCCCAGCCAAGAAAGCGACGCCTACGCCGAAATTCAAGGACCCAAGCGAGGCGCCTAAAGCAGCTGCTGTCAAGCCAGCTGTTGCTGCGGCAAAGCCACTAGCAAAGCCTGCAACACCATCCAAGCCGGGAGATTCTGAGGTTCCCGCTGAGCCACTTGGATCGCCGCCGAAGAAGGTCACTCCAGTCCCAAAGTTCAAGGATCCGAGCGCTGAAGAACCCAAGAAACCTGCAACTGCTGCACCGGTTAAGCCAGCTGCTGCAAAGCCGGTCGCTAAGCCAGCTACACCAGCTAAGCCCGGAGACTCTGAAATCCCCGCTGAACCGCTGGGCTCGCCGCCGAAGAAGGTTACTCCGGCCCCGAAGTTCAAGGACCCGAGTGAGGAACCTAAGCCTGCTGCTGCAAAACCGGCTGCTGCTAAACCAGCCGCTAAGCCTGCCACCCCAGCAAAACCGGGAGACAAGGAAACACCTGCTGAACCCCTGGGTGCAGCACCGAAGAAAACGACTCCACTTCCGAAGTTCAAGGAACCAAGCGAGGAGCCGAAGCCTCGGGTTGCAAAGCCAGCTGCTGCAAAACCAGTTGCAGCAAAGCCCGCTACGGCTGTCAAGCCTGGGGATAAAGAAACACCGGCTGAACCACTTGGTGCCCCGGCTAAGAAGGTTGCGCCCGCGCCAAAGTTCAAAGACCCGACCGCGGAAGAGCCTAAGAAGCCGGCAGCTGCGACCCCAGTAAAGCCAACAGCTGCCAAGCCTGTGCCCAAGCTTAAGCTACCTGAAGATGAGGAACCTACTGAGGAACTGAGTATTCCGTTGCCAAAGAAGGCGGTAGCGCCAGTGACGAAGGCACCAGTAAAATCAGCTGAACCAGCGAAGCCTGTAGCTACAACGCCAGCCAAACCAGCAGCGGCCAAGCCTAAAGAACCAGTGAAGCTTGCAGCCGCCACTCCAGCCAAACCTGCAGCCGCAAAACCTGCTGCACCAAAAAGCACCCTCAAGCTTAAGCCAAGTTCAGATGATGAAGAACCGGCTGAGGAAGTCAGTATCCCATTACCGAAAAAACCGGTCGCGCCGGTGACAAAAGCTCCAGTGAAGCCGGCTGTTGCCAAGCCGGGCGATAGTGAAGCCCCAGCTGATCTACTTGGGGGCCCCGCAGCGAAGAAACCGGTGCCCAAGTTCAAGGATCCCAGTGAGGAGCCGAAAAAGCCGGCAGCTGCTACACCGGCCAAACCAGCTGCCGCAACCCCGGCGAAACCTGCTGCTGTCCCGGTCAAGCCCGTAACTGCGGCACCAGCTAAGCCAGCCTCCAAAGCACCGCTCAAGCTCAAACCCACTTCTGACGATGAGGAACCGGCTGAAGAGATTAGTATTCCTTTGCCGAAGAAACCGGTAGCTTCGGTCACCAAAGCCCCTGCTAAGCCGACTGAGCCGGTGAAGCCAGTTGCAGCTAAACCTGCTGCTGCCCCAGCCAAGCCTGCGGCTGCGACCCCAGCTAAACCTGTGGAGCCAGCAAAACCCGCAACGGCGAAACCGGTGACTAAGCCTGCACCCAAAGCTCCCCTCAAGCTCAAACCGACTTCAGAGGATGAAGAGCCAGCAGAAGAGGTCAGCCTCCCGCTGCCGAAGAAGCCTGTAGCTCCGATGACCAAGGCTCCTGCCAAGCCGGCTGAGCCAGCGAAGCCAACAGCTTCTAAGCCTGCTGCCCCAGCTAAGCCTGCAGCTGCGACTCCAGCTAAACCGGCTGAGCCGGCAAAACCTGCAGCGGCCAAACCAGTGGCGAAGCCTGCACCCAAAGCTCCCCTCAAGCTCAAGCCGAGTTCAGATGATGAAGAACCAGCGGAAGAGGTCAGCATCCCGTTGCCGAAGAAGCCTGTAGCTCCGGTGACGAGAGCACCTGTGAAGCCTTCGGATTCTGAAAGTCCAGCAGATCTACTTGGAGGTCCTACAGCCAAGAAACCGGCACCGAAAGTCAAGGATCCAAGCGACGAACCGAAGAAGCCGGCAGCTGCTGCTCCAATCAAGCCTGGTACCGCGGCCTCAGCCAAGCCAGCTGCTAAACCTGTTCCAAAGCTCAAGCTGCCCGAAGATGAGGAACCTGCTGAGGAAATCAGCATCCCACTTCCCAAGAAACCCGTAGTCCCGGTGACTAAAGCTCCAGTGAAGCCTGCTGCGCCCGTAAAACCTACCGCGGCCAAACCGGATGCCGCTCCCGCTAAGCCTGCAGCTGCTACTCCGGCCAAGCCGACTGAGCCTGCCAAGCCCACTACGAAACCAGCAGCAACGAAGCCTGCTCCAAAAGCTCCTCTAAAGCTGAGACCGACTTCAGACGATGAAGAGCCGGCTGAGGAAGTGAGCATCCCATTGCCTAAGAAACCGGTCGCACCGGTAACCAAAGCCCCAGTCAAGCCTGCGCCGAAAAAACCAGGAGACAGCGAAGACCCAGCTGACTTGCTTGGTGGACCCACAGCCAAGAAACCGGTGCCCAAGTTCAAGGATCCGAGCGAGGAACCAAAGAAGCCGGCCGCAGCGGTTCCGGCGAAGCCCGCTGCTGCAACGCCCGCTAAACCTGCTGCTACACCAGCGAAACCTGCTGCGGCAGCACCAGCTAAGCCATCAGCTACACCAGTGAAGCCTGCTTCGAAAGCCCCACTCAAGCTCAAGCCTACTTCTGACGATGAGGAACCGGCAGAAGAGGTCAGCATCCCATTGCCGAGGAAGCCGGTAGCACCAGTAACTAAAGCTCCAGTCAAGCCAGCTGCAGCCAAACCAGCTGATCCCGCTAAGCCCGCAGCAGCCGCTCCTAAGCCAGTTGCGAAGCCCGCTGCTGCTCCGACGAAGCCTGCAGCTGCCACGCCGGCCAAGCCTGCAGCTGCGAAACCAGCACCTAAAACACCGCTCAAAGTTAAACCTACCTCTGATGATGAAGAACCGGCTGAGGAGGTTAGCATCCCATTGCCCAAGAAGCCGGTTGCGCCGGTGACGAAAGCTCCAGCCAAGCCGGCGGCTGCTACGCCAGCCAAGCCTGCTGCTGCTCCAGCAAAACCAGCAGCCGTCAAGCCGGCTCCAAAGGCACCCCTGAAAGTCAAGCCAACCTCAGATGATGAAGAACCTGCTGAGGAGGTCAGCATTCCACTGCCAAAGAAGCCGGTAGCACCGGTGACTAAGGCGCCGGCAAAGCCTGCAGTTGCAAAACCAGCTGCCAAGCCCGCTCCTAAAGTCAAACCTACTGAAGACGACGAAGAGCCGGATACTGACGCTACTCTGCCGCTTCCTAAGAAGCCAGCAGCTGCGAAACCAGCGGCAAAGCCAGCGACAAAAGCTCCAGTGAAGCCTGCAGCCAAGCCTGCTCCGAAAGTCAAACCCACCGATGATGACGAGGAGCCGGAAACAGACGCAACTGTGCCTCTACCAAAGAAGCCAGTAGCTGCAAAACCGGCAGCCAAGCCAGCAGCAAAGCCAGCGGCAAAACCGGCTCCTAAAGTGAAACCTGCTGAAGACGACGATGAGCCTGGCACCGACGCGACACTACCTCTACCTAAAAAACCCGCCGCTGCCAAACCAGCCGCCAAACCAGCCGCTAAGCCTGCTGCAAAGCCCGCAGCTAAACCAGCCCCTAAAGTCAAACCTGCCGAAGATGATGAGGAACCAGAAGCCGACGCAACAGTACCCTTGCCCAAGAAAGCAGCGCCAAAGAAGAAGCCGAAGGACTCGGACGACCCGGCTGATCTGGTTGATGCTCCCGCCAAGAAAAAGCCCGCACCAAAGTTCAAGCCAGCGGAGGATGATGAGGAGCCGGAAACCGATGCCACGATTCCGTTGAAGCCGAAGAAGAAGGCCGCGCCCAAGAAAAAGGACCCAGGTCGGTTTGGGTTGAAATTTTGGAGTTTGTAGTCGGAAAATCGCGAAAGTCGGATAATGTCCGCGCATTAACGGCTAGTACCTAGTTTTCTAGATAACTTTTTGTTTTTTTTTCTAAAGAATTACTGCCAGATTGCCTAACTGTGCGTTGGGTTTGAAATTTTCGAGTTTGTATTCGCAAACTCTCGAAAATCAGAAGCATGCATTGCCTTTCCTAAAGAATCCCTGCTAGTTTGCCTCGGTATGTGCTATATTTCTAGATGACGAGCCAGAAGACGAAGAAGCTGATGAGGATGAGGAAGAACCGGAAGAGGGAGATGAAGAGGAACCGATGGAAGATGAGGAGGAGCCGGAAGAGGTAAAAATTCTCATTTTGATATGACCGCATTTGCCTAGAAGCCCAAAAGAAGAAGAAGAAGCCGAAGGAGAAGAAAAAGAAGGAGCCCAAGCCGAAGAAGGAGAAGAAGCCGAAGGAGCCGAAGAAGCTCAAATGGTGTCCGCCACCGAAGCCGCCGCCGGAGGCCATTCCTTTGAAGTTTGTATTTCAAATTTTGGGAAACCAAACGGCTCTAAAAACGTAAAACCCAATTTTTAGCACCGAACCCTTGATAAAATCGATTATCGAACGGAATCGGGAACCGGATGCGGAGCGGCCGACGAAGAGATATTTGAGAAAACCGCAGCATACGTAAGTTTATCCCTCTCGCTCTATCCCTATTTCTCGCTCTGTTCCTCTCTCTCACTCTCTCTCTCTCTGTCTCCCCTCTCTCTGTCTCTCTCCCCTCCCGTTCTCTGCTTCTAATTTTGATTCATAATCGATACTTTTAGCGACGTCGCAATTCCATTCGTCATCCCGTGGGAGCAAACGCCAGCCCTGGAAACCCAAGCAGGAATGGGTGCCTTTGGCCAACCACGAATGGAAAATGTCAAGGTTGACCATGGCGAGAAGCCGTTGAAAGAGGTAGATCATCAATTGAGGTTCTAGAAACTTAATCACTTGTTTTATGCAATGGGCCACAAAAACTCTTTCTAGGGCGCCCTCAAGTCCGAGACCGTACTCCCGATGTGGAACGATGAGACCAAGTTTGCGCATAGGTACGGATTTTCATGCTTGTAGGAACGAATGAAGTGTTCTATGCCAAGTGGAAAATCAAAATTTGAAAATCCAAACTACAAAACATTCCAGAACCGGCGAGAATCCGTTTGGATCTGTGCGAGGGAACTTGCCAGATATCGTGGATCACCACGAGTATAAAGTCAGCCCGGAGAAGGTAGGATTTTACGATTTCTATAACTTTTGTATTTCGTATTGTATTACAGTATGTATTTTTATTAATGCACTAATAATATGAATATAAGAAACGGTTTTCAAAATTAAAAACGGTTTTCGTCAAGAGACGCCGAGCGCCGCATCAGGTCAGGCTCCGAGAATTAGATAGCGTGTACGAACGAACAACAAGCGCTCTGTTTTCTCGAACTTCTAAAAAAATTTTTGCTATTTTACCTCCTGTAAAATGCGTGGAAATCCAGAAAATTCAGATGCGGTTAACAGAAGGCGTGATCCCGTATGTAAACCGGGGGATCAATGTTCATCAAGGCGACATACCCTCGTATGGCCAGTTGAGGACACAGGTAATAGTTTTTGTTTTTGCCCACTCTCTCTCTCTCGCCCTCTCTTACTCCTTTCGCTCCAATTTAAAAGCCTTTTAGACGGGTAATGTCGACTGGGCCAAGCTGAAACCTGGAATGGACAAGAAATCGAATGGGTTCATCTCGAAACAATTCAAATCTAACGCCACGACAAAGGCTGGAAGTAATGTGATGGATCGGAGGCGGAATGGGGTGAGTTATCTCTCTCTCTCTCTCTATCTATCTCTCTCTCTGTCTTTCCTTCGTGATAACCATATTTCCAGGCAACATTCATGGAATATGACAAGCAGAGCGAATGCTTTATCCCGATATTGTTCGACAATCTGGGTTGCCAGATGAAGGTAATTTCATGGCGTAATGTATTAGAAATTAAATTGAATTTCAGGAAGGCGCGGAGTTTGGCTCGTTCCGCCCGATGTACACCCCATCGACCGGCGGCTGGCCAATGTCGTGGGATGAGGAGAAGAAGTGCCGGATGGCTGTGCCTTTCCAAGTGGGGAAAATTGCTAGAACTCGTAAAACCGAATTACCCTGTATAAATAAAATTCAGGTTGTTGCATGATCTCAGAACTCACAGGTATTAGGTATCTTAAGAAGTACAGTATGCTTCCAGTAATTTAGGCAAATCTAAGAAACGACTACTAGTGCGCGCTATTTCAGAAAGCCCGACCAGGTGTTAAGATGGGAGAAATACGAATTTATGCTTTAAAGACCAGGCCGATCTGCTCTCTAAAAATTGAACACATCCTGGCCGCATGGTCGGCGTTGCGTTGCGTAGCGTCATGTAGCATAGCGTAGCGTAGCGTAGCGTTGCGTAGCGTCGTGTAGCGTAGCCTAGCGCGCACTTTTTTTTTATATGAACTTGAATTGCACACCGTATATGTCGCATTCATGCTAGAAAAGACGAAGCACCAGAGGGCATTATTAAAATCAGAAAAAGTGGATTATTTACTCCCATTTTTCAGATTTCCGGCCACCTCAACCTCCCGAAAGCCAAAAAGTCGCCGATCACCAAGACGATCACGAAAAAGCCCAAGAAACCTGTACAGAAAGCCAGGAAAGCCTGACCCTGAGAAAGATGTTGTGAGATTTCTACGAACGGATAAATGACCAACTTTTATCGTCTCTTTTCTGGCAACACACACGATAGGTACAACAAACTACATCAAAAACAACGCAAAAAGACGTCAGAAGTCAGCATTAAATCAGAAAATCGAAAATATGAATCGGGGAACCCGGAGTGGAACGCAATAACAGAATTTTTAAAGGGATCTGCAACTTTCGGAAAAGTTCTGGAATGCTCCGCTAGGCATTCGGATGCTGTAATCTGGTGCCAGACGAAATTTCTAGCAAAAATTAAAAGTTGCACTTCCCTTAAAAAGATACCGTAATGGTGGGTAGCAGAGTATGGAGAAAAATCGCCATTAAAGGAACTTGGAAGGATTCAGACAAAATTTGCGAGCTTCAAATAGTTGTAGTTTCTAGATGGAGTATCCTATCGAGTACGATATGGTGCTACCACAATAACTCGAGTACAAAGTATTATAGCGTACTTTAAACTGTTTGCGACTGTAATACGGTACCGAGTATGCTACGCTACCCTGTAAGTTTGGAAACCAAAGTAAAGTAGCGTACTATCCACATAAAATCCGTTACGATCTAGGCTACAGTAATCAAAACTGCCAAAAATACCAAAAATGACAAACCCAGTTCTCTCAAAATCCAAAATCCGCAATTTCCGGCCTTCCAAGTCGCTTTAAAAACAAAGAATCGTATACTAGCACAGCACTCAACAAAGACAGGATGAAAATACAGGGGGTGTACACTGTACAGTAGCGTAGTCTATCGTCAACTACGATATTGAAGAAGGGAATATTAGCGCAGTTCATATAAAGCGAACGGGATCACACGGATTCTGGAATTCCGGGGGTAGCTGACTAGTCGCGGGGAACAAAAAAAATAGGTGTGGAAAATTGCAAAAATGGCAATATTCAGCTGGCGAAAGGGAATTGTGGCTTGTGGAAACCGCGTCCAGAGGAGCGGAACGTCGTCGTGATTATTGATTGGAGGGATCCTGAAAATATAAAAATAGATAAAATCAGGGTTTCTTAAGATATTATCAAGCGAACAGTGTATTAATTAAATTCTTATTCTAATTTTTTTACTAACTAAATTTTATATTTTTCGGATTCTTACCTCCTCCGGATTACGCGGGATGTATTTATGCAGCTCGGTCGGTACGTATTGGCGCATTATGTAGTTTTGGGCTTCGAGGAGTTGGATCTAAAATATGAAACTTTAGGTAAGTATGCTTCTCTCTCTCTCTCTCTCTCACGCTGACCCGCTTTTCATCTCACACTTACAAGGAGACGTTTTTTGGTGTGAATGGAGTTCTGAGTGGAAACCAGGCCTATTTTGTGCAGAATTTTGCGCTGATTCCGAATATGTTTTCCATTTCTGCTAAATAGCTCGATTTCAAAAGTTATAGCAATTTTAAGATCATTTTAGCCCAAATTTTCCCCTCTTTAGGGGCCATTATCTTGCTTTTACCGGCTGTTTTTCCAAAAATAAATATCGTCACCGTATTCAGAAAAATTTTCTCTATCGAATGAGCTATTTAGCTCAAAATTGTTGAAAATCGAAAAAAATCGACGATACTTGGTATGGACTTCGTTTTTTGTATGGGAAATGGTGAAAAACAGCCTACTTCTCACCCCTGTAAGCCATCGTCGATCGGCAGTAGCGCACTAATTAAATATACCATTCGAATCAGAAAAAAATTCTCTACAAGATAGCCTACTTAAACAAAATTAAAACGTTATAACAAAAAAGTAGCACAGCATAGCATATGGCTACTCTGGGCCTAAAAATTAGCTTAAAATCGCTGTAACTTTTGAATCGAGCTATTTAGCAGAATTGGAAAACAGCATCGGAATCAGCGCAAAATTCTGCACAGAATAGGTCTGGTTTCAACTTAAAACTCCATTCACACTAAAAAACGTCTCCTTGTTAGTCTCTCTCTCTCTCTCACAATCACTCTCTTTCTTTTTCTTTCTCTCTATCTATCTATCTCACTCTCACTCTGACTCTACCACTCGCACTCTATCTCTCTCCCTCTCCCTCTCTCTCGCTCTCTTCCCTCCCTCTCTTTCTCTGTCACTCTCTCTCACTCTCTCACTCGCTCTCTCTCTCACCTTAGACTCCAAATCCATGATTGTTGTCCGCAACACCTCAACCTCTTCTCGAACCGCGAACGTCAAATGTGTTTTGACTAGGTCCATCGCCTGCTCAATCTTGTTGTCGATGGCGATCACGTTTAGTTGAGCGTTTTGGGAGCTGAAATGGGTTGTATATACTCCTTAATTCAGCTTTCTATCATCAGCCACCTCCTTTTTCAGGGCACGGTACTTTTCTCCAACTTAAAAGATATTTTTCCGCATTCCATGTCCCTTAAACCCCTATTTCACCCCAATCTCTGAACGCTCTGATCCCACGCAGTACCAAGGTCTCAAAACAGTACTTTATCAGTAAGCACCCTCAAGCTTTTCAGCCTAATCTCTGCCCCAAGCCACCTGGGCGCCCCCAAAATAGCCCTCCAAAAAATGGCTGGAGGTGGTCGGGAGACGTCAGGTTAGAGATAGGGAGACAAAGGAATGGATTCTCGTGTTTTTGAGACGAGAGGAAGATGGAGTGAGAGAGATAGGTGGAGCGGAAGAGAGAGTCAGAGAGTGATAGGGTGAGTGAGAGTGAGAGATAGAGAGGGCGAAAGCGAGAGGATGCTATGGAAAACGACTTCTAGAAGGGCAGAGAGAGAGACAGAGAGAACCGGAGAAAGCGAGAGAGAGACAGCGGGCGACAGAGAAAAACAAAGTTCAATACCTTAAGCCTACCACCTTCCGATAACGTGGATCAATACCGTAATCTCGTTTTGGTTGTTTACTTCCCCGTTTCAACGCTTTTTTGGGCGTCCATCTGATAAGCACCCCGATGTGTTTGGATTTTTTGTGTGTTCCCGACGGGTACAAAGGTCCGCTGAGGAGGTGGAGGAAAATGGCCGAAAAATGGGACCAGTTTTTTTTGGGGGAGTTACTTGGGCCGTAAAATTGTCAGATTACAAGGTGAGATGCGTGGGGGAGATATGGGGATGGAAAAGTTCAGTGTGAACGAATGAGGGTACTTGAGGGTGGTCAGACTATAGCGAAATTTGGATTTAAACCGGTAATGTCATAAAATTAACGAGAAATTTTTAAAAATTGTATGAAGTGCGATTATGGCATTTAAAGGGTTGGAAAAGCATAAGATGTTTCTGAAAACGCTTTTTTTTATTATTTTTTTCTTTTTAATGACTATATAAATTATTTTGAAAATCAGATTCCTCAAGCCCCCTTGCTGGTTACCCCCTTCGGATCACACGAAAAATACTGTAATTTTTATTTACAACTACAAGATTTCCAAAAGATCGATTTTGAAATTCCTTTGTTATTGAATTCCAAATCGGTGCAGTAACAAGAAAAAATTAATTGAATCGGTTACGTCATGTAAAGAGCAAAAAATTAACTAAAAAAGTGCAAGTCAGCGTCACAAAAAATAATATTAAAGCTTTAAAACTGAGCTCAACCGCCTCTGCAGTTAGTCAAATGGTTAGTGTTCCAGTCTCTCAAGAATACGGTCCTGGTTCGAACCCCTCACGCAATAATCTTTTGATTTGCCCTACCAAACCAAAAACTCATCCTCACCTGCTCTCCACCTCCGGTACTCTCACAAAAAGTTGCCGCCTCGTGTCCGAAGGCGTAATCGGGGTGTTGGGGTGGAGCTTCTCGCAAATCCTCGGACTTTCCGGCACCGGCGTCAAAAGCCCGGAATCGGAATCCATGGACGATTGTTCAGGGGACAGTGCCGTATAGGGGGAGCCAGGCGGCGTCATCGAGGTTAGGGAAAGACGATGGCCTAACACAGGATTTTCGTCTATTAATGTGCGAATTTTTGCACCTGAATGCGTGAGGAGGGTCAACGAATTGTCGAGCTCTTCCACCGACGTCATCCTGTGGAAGGCGATGGGCCACGGGTTTGCACCCTGCTGCACGATGGCCGACATCCCGAATATTTTGGCTGGAATTTGGAGCCGTGATGACGCTTGAGAATGGAAATAAAGACAACGATAAATAATTGCCAAATATAAAGCGCATAAAAGGTACAGAAAAGCGTTAAAAATGGTAGGAAAAGCCGGAAACTTGCGGGCGTTCGGATGCAAACTAGGATTTTTTGGAAACTCGTTATATCTCGACGTAGAAAAATGAGATTGGGATGATTTTTATCGCATTCGAAAGCCCAGAAAAGGGTGAATTCGATGATACAAAATTCTGCCTATTCTAACAAAAATTTTTTAGTAGGATGTAAATTAGCGTATGCCTAAACTGGCCAAAACTCGACGTAGGAATATCGGACTCAATTGATTTTTCTAGCACTACAAAGCTGAAAAATTGGCGAAAGAGATACTGGCAAAAGTTTGCTCAATGCCTTGGGAAAGGTGAAGTATATTCAGGAATAAAACATCTTCTGCGAGACGTTACAAGATTTTCACGATTTTCAGATTTTTAAACTCCTTCCCTCTGGCATTTTCGCGGCATCGCGGCTTATACAAGAGTTGAGGGGTGATATTTTTGTCCCCGCGTGCCTCCTTTCCTCAGCTAAAAAGCGGATAATCCCCGGAATCCGGGATCAAGCCGGAAAATCCCGAGTCCGAAGAGGTGAAGATTTTTGAGCGAAACTACGAAATGGTTGAACGGATGAGAAAACAGATATTTGGACGTCAGAAATCTCGATTTACATGGGTTCAAAAACGTTTAAAAACATCGAAAAACCATAACAATTCTTTAAAATAGACTAAAAACCATCAATTGCTTGAAATGATCATTCGAACTTCGGAATCGGCGAGAAAATCGTATTTTTACGTCATTTTGGCCATTAAAATGCGGTACCATATAAAACATTTTTTAAGATGTCCACAAATGAAGTATATTTGTGTTTAAAAAAGCTAATTAAATAGTACTACTTAAAATCGCAT